GTCCGGGTGTATGACGTACATTCAGTCCGGGTGTATGACGTACATTCAGTCCGGGTGTATGACGTACATTCAATTCGGTTACATTCCCGAGTTGACCACTCCATGTGATGACCACAACACTACGTCCATAAACGCCCCACTTACGTTGGCAGCCAAGGACGTGGTTGTCCCGTCGTCTAAGGTAATTCTCTGTGCGGGGTTGCCTGTTTAGCAGACGCGATTTATGCATTGTCCAACCGTTTTTGTTTGCTTGTTTTTTTTTAAAAGGATGAATGAAACTATATGGCCGATATTACTGACTTGAAATTCAATACAGATATCTCTGATACCAATTAATTCATGTATATTGACTGTAGAATCTCTAAACGTCGCTTTGATGCATTGAAGAACTAGTTGCGCATTCCATATCGAAAAAAGTATCCAGTGTTACAAACTTAGTATCATAGCCGTTTCAGATTTTTAAGTATATTTCTTCGTTATATAATATCTTCTTTGATTGTTCTACACAATGTTTGAAAGCCACCACTTTTGCATGGCCAACATGTATATTTTCAAATTATGAAAGTTTTTATTGGTTTCAACATAAATCAATGAGATGTGTACTTGACAACGAATATGAACCCTTTAGTGCAATACCCGTGAAGGTCCGGGTTAGAATATTAAGCTTCAGTAACCCATGCTTGTCGTAAGAGGCGACTAACGGGATCGGGTGGTCAGGCTCGCTGACTTGGTTGACACATGTTATCGGTTCCCAATTGCGCAGATCGATTCTTATGCTGTTGATCACTGGAGTGTCTGGTCCAGACTCGATTATTTACAGACCGCCGCCACATAGCTGGAATATTGCTGAGTGCAGCGTAAAACAAAACTCACTCACCTTTAGTGCAAACAAAATAGTTTTGATCTTTTTTTATTTCGAACGAATTTGAAAGGAAATTATCTTTTTTACCGCAGTAGTAGGGCCTCAACGAGTCCATTTTTTTGGACTCGAGTACTCGAGGGGTGAGACTCGACTCGGACCCGAGTACTCGAAATTCATACCTTTCAAGCAAACGATAGCGTAACCGGCATGACATGTGTTCCGATCACACAAGTGAACACTTACTTCTTTCCGACTTCATATCGTCATGTGACTAACATTTCCTATTGGTCAGAATCAGTATTTGGATGTTTACTTGACAAACGTTTTTTTTCTTCGTACTTCTTGTACTACCTGAAAAACGCAGTGAGATACCGCACAGGCGGCATTTGGTTATTTTGCTCTTTTCACTATCCAGATCAAGTTACGCCCATACATTTGATTTTTTATCTTTCTCCATGTCTATCAATTGTCAAGATAGTTACCTTATCATTTTAAAAAGTGAAAACTCAAACGATGTATCATATTTACTCTCATCTGCAGACTTGTAGCAACTAATACCATACAGCCACACCGTGTGAGGAGTAAACTATTTAATCTAGGTGTTAATAAAAAACATTATCAGATTGGTTAAAGAATTCAGGGTACATAGAACTCAGTATGTCAGTGTCAATGGCTATCAATCTTCTTTGCTCTCAACCTCTACTGGAAATCCACATGGCTGTGTTCCTTCATCCGTACTCTTCGTTTTGTATACCAATGACTGTTACTTGTCAATATATGACTTGTTCACTGTGAAATTCGCAGATGACGCAACTGTTACTGGCCTAATTTCTGATTCTGAACATTATTATCGTCAAGGCATTGACAAAACCGTAATGACAGTTTTTTATCAAACCTTTATTCAAAGTGTGTTGACCTACAATTTTCTATGTTGGTATGGGGATCTGTCTCATCGCAACAAAAACAAACTTTTCAAAATTGTTGATACTGCTTGCAAAATTTCTGGAGTGTCTTTCGAGTATACTCCCTTTATCTATGAGCGCCAGATTATCAAAAAGGGAGCTAAAATTAGATTTGATAGTTGATATATTTGATCTCACCATTTTGAACTACTTCCTTCTGGACGCTGCTGACGATTACCTTCCCTCAAAACAAACAGAGCTAGACAGTCTTTCATACCATCAAGTATTCGTGAATGCAACAAATATTTTGAATCACCATCATGTGATTAGAACTAGAATTATTCAGCCTCTTTACCTATGTGGTTAATTGAATTATATCATGTCAGTTTTATTTATAAATAGCATTCGTTTTGAGCATGTAATTATTGTGTATATTTTTGTGAACTGTGTATATATTCATTTTGAGACAGTTTGGATGTATAAGAATTTCCTCCGGGATAATAAAGTTATATCTTATCTTAATATTAGACGTTAACGGCCGCTCATGCTTAGCACATGGCAGACATTCTGTCAACGTCAAATAATCCGAGTTATCTTCCCTTTTCGAGTCCTCGAGCCCATGAAAATGGACTCGAGTCCAGCTAGACCCGACTCGCCCTCGAGTACTCGAGTACCCGTGGAAGCCCTACGCAGTAGGACTCCATTTCAACTCGCTGTGTACTCAAGGACCAACACGTATGTAGACGTTCCCTTGGTCGGGCAATAGCGTTAGAGTGCAACCTTTCCACTGTGCAACCTTTCCACTGTGCACTGTCCACTGTGCAACCTTTCCACTGTGCAACCTTTCCACTGACTGTATTCGAGCTGATGCAGGTCAATGATGAACGGTCATTCAGAGTTTGTATGTAATTACTACATGCATATTGGAATGCTCAATTCATTGCCAATGTGATTTCTTGACGCTGAGGGATATTCATTCGTTGGTGGATCATTCATTATTACGAGAACGTGGAAGGTTATACCCTGACGGTAACATTTGATAGATTCAAGTATCTTTGCAGTGTATGAAACGACGTTATTTTTAGGAGAGCCATTACCGTTCTAACACACACCTACTAATACTTGTAGAGCGCCAACATCCAGCTCAGCTGCTCAAAGCCGCTTTGTGTTTTCCCCTTGATCATTGGATGTCAATCTCAACGGCTCATCATATTTTCAATCTCAACTGAGATGATGATTTTTATGGAGAAGCATGTACAATGTGAATATTTGAATGCCCCCCCCCTAAAATGTATGTACAAGTAAGTGACCCCCTGCATGTCATGTACAAAAATCAATGACACCCTCCCCCTTCCACTATTTTTATACTAAATGTATTGCTGCCCCCTAGAAACATAAAATTGATAACCCCCTACCTCCCCAGAACAAAATGGGTGACCCCCCTTAACACCACCACCCCCAAAGCCATAAATTATGAACGGTCCCTAATGAAAGATCAGTGGAAAGAATTTTCTGAATGACGTAGTCCCTTTCATTAATATCAGCATGAATAAATACGATATATTGCAAATGACTGATGTATTAACCTGATGTTTTAAATTCAAACTTCCATAACCGTGATTATTGTAAGGTGAAATTAAACACTTAAAATGAGGTATAATTCGTCTTTTCATTCTTCAGACTCGAGGACTATGAAAGCATGTTGGTGCCACAGTTTGAAACATTTCATCATCTAGAAGACACATTCATCTACGTAGAATATACTTACATCTTCGTAGAAAACACGTACATCTACGTAGAGTGAGTGAGTGAGTGGGTGAGTTGGGTTTTACGACGCTTTTAGCAATATCCAAGCATTATCACGTCGGGGAACACCAGAAATAGGCTTCACACAATGTACCCATGTGGGGACTCGAACCCGGGTCTTCGGCGTGACGAGCGAACGCTTTAACCACTAGGCTACCCCACCGCCCCACATCTACGTAGAAGACACGTACATCTAAGTAGGTGATGCACGCATATCTCCATATATGAAACCATAGTTATGCTCAGCGTTACTCAGTCTGTGATATTGTCTTCTGAATGTCTGAAAGTGCGATCTTTGTTAGATATAGGTAACATATATATTTTCGGATTCGAACCACGATCAGAGGATTCAAGCACATCCAAGGGAAGCAGCTCAACACATTACGTGAGACACTTGGACGATTACTTGACCTATGTCCAAAGCGATAATTGGTTCTTGTATATTCAGCTATCTGCTGAAATGGCAGGTTGTTAGGGCGAGTTGCACATGGAAGCATCCCTACTTCTAGCCTTTACATATACTGGACCGCTTCCATGGTGTAGTGGTTAGAGCGTCCGCCCGGAGAGTGGAAGGTAGCGGATTCGATCCCCGGCTGCGTCATTCCAAATGTTAAAATATGGTACTTGTTGGTCCCTGCCTGGCGCTCGGCATTAATGAGTACAACGAGGACTGGTCGACTCGGAGTCAGTATAATGTGTCTGAGTGGGGTATTCATGCTTCACTGCGGCATGGTATCTCAGTGAGCTAGCACTAAAAAACCAGCTGAAGTCTGGGCTAGTACAAGCAGCCACACACGCATGCTCGTCGTCAAATGAGCGAAATATTCTAAGTACGACATTAGACCCCATTTCACCTCACCTCGTGGATTTCACCAAAGTAGTAAGGGCGTTAGACCTACATCACCTTGGGCTTTCCTCCAACAGCTAGCTTACAGCCGTTGTGTACTTAATACTGTTCAAGAGGAGTTAATCTACACTCACTCATCCTGGACATTGCCTTGGAGCACAGTACATCTTCAGGTGAGTGACCATAAGATGTGGTTTGTAGCATCATCTCAGTCACATCCAAGAGAAAGGCAAGTATGCATTTCTGGTAACAGTTCCGCCCGTAAACCCCGCGTGAAATGTATGATTATTATTTTTTATTATGGAAAAATGTATTCTATTTATTATGATTATTTCTAGGGGTTTAGGGTTTAGATTTAGCATTATGTTAGGTTTAGGGTTAGGGTAGACTTTCTATAAAAAAACATTTATTCTTAGGCATAGAATGACTTAAAAAACGGGGGTTACGGGCTGAAATCTTTCCGGCAAGGCTCTTAACTGAATCTTTGTATAATGAAAAAACAACTGTCATACAAAATCACATTTATTCATGTATACAATAAAACATAATCAAAGTAAACAAATATAATGCTAAACTGCTGTAACAGATCTACGTAATGCGCCGTGTATTGTAGCTTGATGGATAAGCTGTAAAAGATCTACGTAATGCGCCGTGTATTGTAGCTTGATGGATAAGCCATCTGACTAAACTAACATCCTACAGTTGCCACCAGAAGAAAGAATGTGCCAATGTTCCAGAAACATGAGTATTTTAATGATGATTTAAATTTCGAGGTTGAAGGACGAAGCCCGACTATCGCCAGATGAGTTCAATCAGGACTGTACAACGCAACACCCGGATAGATTGACCAGGTGACCGACGAGTCCTCCTCCTTGGGAGGGGTTGGGATCGTCAGACAGTCGGAGGGTGGGGGAGGAACATCAGAGCTCGGTCACCCGATCAACCACTTCCGGGTATTGGGTCAATTCCTGGCTTGACACCTCATCCGGACGAGAACCTGACTCCGTCAGAGATTTGAAATTACAGTTATTTATTCCAATTAGAAATACTTCCGATGTGAATGAAAAGGTGTCGAAACTGAGTTCAGCTGTTTTCTTGTTCAATGTAAGGATGTCAGCTCGTCAACAAACACGGCATATTCAGCGGCGGCGGCGGCGGCTGCAGCAACAGCAGCTAACGAATGGTCGGGCCAAGATACGGAGTCCCTGGAACAGAGGAAACAATAAAAGTAGAGTCTTTACATTTCACACACAATAATAAATTCATGTTGGAAACGAGTTTCACAGATTCGTTCATGATATTATCAAACGTTGCATTGGATGGATGTGGTAACGCGTTTCGTTTATACACCTACATACGCCCTTACCCTGAGAGTCAATCTGCCCATGTTCATCATGGTATCAAACGTTGCATTTAATGGATGTGGTAACGCGTTTCGTTTATACACCTACATACGCCCTTACCCTGAGGATCACTCTGCCCACGTTCATCATGTTATCAAACATTGCATTGGATGGATGAGGTAACGCGTTTTGTTGATACACCTACATATTATGTTCTTACCCTGAGAATCGCTCTGCCCATGCGGCGAATCCTGGATTTGCCTGTTGAAAAAAGAACATTTGTTTATCTCCAATTCGCGATTCAAACTCCGTGCATTTTACATGTCATGCTATTGATTCTCGGCTCTACCAGTATTGCCTTGAGGAGATAATCATATGATTTAATCTGTAAACAAGACATTTGCCATTTTAATTATAGTTTAACTTCAGTCACAAAGTCAGGTATGTATTGTAGTGTACGAAAGGACGGAAACATTACAACGTTTGCCGACATATGATAATCTAGGTACCTGAGACGGCGGCGGATTCAACTTGTGGAACTCTGCAATGTGATGGAGAACAATGGAATTACTGTCACAATTTCTATCAGAAATGATAATCTGGCACCGTGAATGTATATATTGTTCAGTAAGTCACAATTTGTGAGCTGAGGCGCGCAAACGTGGAGGGAATCAGTAAGTCGACGGTACAATCAGGTTGACGGTACCCTAAATTATTTCCCTAACCGAGAAGAGCGAATTTGGTGTTTTATTTGGCTCAAGCCAATTTTTTCAAAACCAAATTTAAGCGAGTTACACATTTCACAGGCATTGTTGTATTGTTCTTATGTTTGGTTAAAATAATATCAAAATGGGTGTTCATGGTTAGTATGAGACATTTAACAGGTATTGTAAACATAAGAAAGCTGTTCCATCCAATTGCTCTTGGTTGACCCAATTTTCGGGTCTCAATAATTATTGTGCTCTCTATAATCTGGTCAGATTTTTCAGAACTCAGTTTCTTCAACGTCCGTGTACACACTATGATCATGTAAAACAAAGTGAAAGAATTACCTGTCCACTTCATCGATGTAGTAGACAGAGATTGTGCTGCTGCTCGAGCTAGAGGAAGAATACCTGCGTACAGAGAAAGGTAGATGTCAGTCTGCAATCACAGTGTGGCATCATCCCCGACCGCGTCATACCAAAAGACGTTAAAATATGGTACTTGTTGGTCCCTGTCTGGCGCTCGGGTACAAGGACTGGTCGGCTCAGAGTCAGTATAATGTGTCTGAGTGGGGTATTCATGCTGAACTTCGGCATGGTATCTCAGTGAGCTAGCACTATAAAGCCAGCTTAAGTCTGGGCTAGTACAAGCAGCCGCACATACACACGCACGCACGTCGTGATATATGCGAAATATTCTTAAGTGCGACCTTAAACCCCATTTCACCTCATCTCACAATGTGGCACCAGTCTTCACTTCTCATTACAGTTTCTGTAACGTCATGTAACAGCTGGATCAACATAATGCTATCAAGCCGTTATACCACCCGTAGGATATAGGTTTTAACATAAGGATAGATAAAATAGAAAAATATTCTAACCTATTTGTACCACAAACCTGTAACGTTTACCACTTCACTTTCTTATTCACTCGCAGTACTGACTGTTATAACGAAAGTGTCATTCCTTGTAGGATTGACTATGACCGCTGTCATGAGAGGTGAAATTGGGTTTTACGTCGTGCTTGAGAATATTTCGCTCATATGACGACGTGCATGCGTGTGTATGTGTATGTGCGGCTGCTTGTACTAGCCCAGACTTAAGCTGGTTTTATAGTGCTAGCCCACTGAGATACTATGCCGCAGTGAAGCATGAATACCCCACTCAGACACATTATACTGACTCCGAGCCGACCAGTCCTTGTTGTACCCATTAATGCCGAGCGCCAGACAGGGACCAACAAGTACCATATTTTAACGTCTTTTGGTATGACGCGGTCGGGGCTCGAACCCGCGACCTTCTGCTCTCCGGGCGGACGCTCTAACCACTACACCACGGAGGCGGTCGCTGTCATGAGAGAGAGAGCATAGGGCATATAACGTTCTGTATCCAGGAGGTCTTTGCTGAAGTCCTGAGTGTAGAACAACCCATGCATGTTGTACAACTGTATATATCAGTCTTTGTTGGTGTCACCAGAGATAATAAACAGTATGTGGTGTATAATCATCTGTATCCAGCAGGTCATGGGTGTTGTGAGCATACAGAACATTGCACAGTGATCTGAGAACATACAAGCATATAGTGTTACTTACAAACTGACTTCGCTTCGATTCGGGGCAACCTCGAGATCTCTAAAACAAGTAGAAACATATTCTGTGAATAAGATTTCAAGAAATGCCAGATGCGAGTGTTCTGCCTGAATGCTTGAGACTGAATGGGTTTTTTTTCTGTTTTTCTGTAAAGTTTTATAAAATGTCACAGCTTATTTTTTTCGGAAACAACAGCATGACCATTGAAAAATTAGGTTTGTTTTTTGTAAGATGATTTTCTTTCATTTTTGGGAACTGTTGTATAAATGCTGGCCCCCTCCCTCCAGACTATCAAATGGACGGCCCAGTTACTGTTAATAAGCATCAATGGATGTTATATACCTAACACCAATACACTTACGTCTTATCAAAGTACAGGTTATTCACGAGTATCTTACATGTAGGTATCGCAAAACGTTCCTCTAATGATCGTCGGGGCGATGGGGTAGTCTAGTGGTTAAAGCGCTGGCTCGTCACGCCGAAGACCCGGGTTCGAATCCCCACATGGGTACAATGAGTGAAGCGCTGGAATATTGTTAAAGGCGGCGTAAAACCAAACTCAGTCAGTCAGTCTAATGATCGTCATCTCACCTGGGTAGAGGACCTGGTGGTCTGGGTGGTGTGAGGTCAATCTTGCAGTCACCCTCACCCCCGGAATCTATGTCCTCTGGCTGTGTTCGGGAAGGCGCCCTAAACAACAGGTACTTGTAGATGGAGATAAACGGTATCAAGACAGACATGCATTTTTAGCTGAGTGGTTTTGTGATTGTTTCTGTTCCATGACCCTCGAGAATCAGAATTCCCTTGTTTTTGATGTCGCATACGTGCCGCTTACGAATAAATATATGACTGAAGTCTATGACACAACTAAAGCCTTCATGAATGCAAATATTTAAGTCTGATAAACTGCATCACACTGTATCAGCGTTCGAAATTAACGTCGGTCCTTAGGCCCGAAGCCGACTGAAAACCACTCGGAGAGCTTTTGTTTTCTGCAGGTCCTTATGGCCGACAGCTTTATCAATCCCAACTAAGAGTATTATTTCCATATAAATATATAGAGCCTACACATTTTGATCAGGACCCACAACTTTTATGGTTCTGGGTCCTTTGGGCCTGAAGCTTTTCAGGGTTAAGGGCACACACTGCAGTGTATCCATAACAACCTGGTGGTCATGCAGATGTCTGACCTTTCTGGCTGTTGGCGCTGGAGTGCTGCTGGGAGGGGACGCCTCTTGTGTCCCTCCGCACTTACAGCGTCAGGCACGGGCACATGGGGAGCGTCCTCTGGAGGGAACTCATCGGGAGCGTCCTCTGGGGGGAACTCATCGGGAGTGTCCTCTTTGGGAAACTCGTCGGGGGTGTCCTCTTGGGGAAACTCATCGGGAGCGTCCTCTGTGGGAAACTCATCGGGGGTGTCCTCTGGGAGGAACTCATCGGGGGTGTCCTCTGTGGGAAACTCATCGGGGGTGTCCTCTGGGGGAAACTCATCGGGAGCGTCCTCTGGGGGAAACTCATCGGGGGTATCCTCAACATCACCATCATCGTCATTTCCTACACCGTGGTTCGGTTGTTGCCTGTGCATATATGAAAACTGTTGTGTGTCTGACGTCAACAAATGTCTTTAAGTTATCTTATGTCTTTCCTGTTCAAGTAAATACTGCTGTTGAGGCTGTCCTCATCTTCACTGAATGCTAGCAGATCGTACGTTGTGTTAATCACCATCATGAACAAACATGCTGCATTGTAATAACACCCGTCTCAAACAATTGCACTGTATCACATGATGAGCAAACAGCTTACATTGTGTTTACACCAACCAAAAACATTTGTTCTATTCTGTTCAGCTACATATTAATATGTATTGTTAAGTCACATCAGTCAGAAATGAAATAGGATTTTTTAGTATATACCAACGATTGAACGACTCTAGGCGACCTCACATGGAATTAACATGTCGAACTTGAAGTCAGACCCTTACGATATATCCCATTATTTTAAACCGAATATCTCGACCTACTTTATTTTAGTCCCGAGGGTTCAAACTAGTCCTGATCCATTGAACCCTTCAGTATTTCTGTAAAGCTCAACATGTTAGAATTTGTATAATTTGCATGAACTTCATGCGATAAATGCCTCTGGTTTTGTTTGTCTAACAACCATGATGTGATACGTTTGCTCTCTGTTGTCAGTCTGAGTCTGTCGAACTATTCCACAGGTGTCCGAGTCGGGCAAAGGCATTCGAAATAAGAATGTGTATTTCTGCATTACAACAAAACCTAATTTAATATGCATCTTACTTACATTGTGTTTAAAAAAAAAACTCATAATCCTGTTGATCACATACATAGTGATTCCACTAACTTATATATACACAAACATTTAAATCAAAATAGGTACATATACGTGTCAGTACATAAACACACCTGTCAGTTATATATGAATGCAGGTAAATACACCTGTCAATCATGTGTGGATATATTTCTGTGCAGTTATGTAAAACGCCAGTGTGTAGATGCAGGTTTATGAACACACCTGTTAATCATATACACACGTATTTGTGTATGGATGCAGGTGGAATACTCTGTGGGCATTTTACAGCTAGGCATTCTCACACATTGCGGCGGCATAATGTACGACCATGACTAACACATATTTGAAATAGATTTACAGAATATTGATAACTTCTTCATTTTGAGTTTAATATGCATTCAGACAATTTCATCAGTTTAAACATTATTACAAAAATGAATATGTTTAGATAATGGTCAGATAAGTAATCAACCAAGGCACCGAGACTGACCACCCGAACCATTAAGTCCCTTTGTATGAGAGGCACAGTCCTCTGTTCTAACCCATCACGTCATCTCATTAGCATATGTACCCGTGAAGGTCCGGGTTAGAATTGATCTTCAGTAACCCATGCTTGTCGTAAGAGGCGACTAACGGGATCGGGTGGTCAGACTCGCTGACTTGGTTGATACATGTCATTGGTTTCCAATTGTGCAGATCGATGCTCATGATATAGATCACTGGATTGTCTGGCCCAGACTCGATTATTTACAGACCGCCGCCATATAGCTGGAATATTGCTGAGTGCGGCGTAAAACTAAACTCACTCACTGATTAACATATGATGATAATTTGTGGTATGTATTCCGAGGGTAGCCAGCAAAACTTCCCTACCTTTCCATTCTGAAAGTCCTAGGCGTCTAAACACGTCTGCTCTGTTATTAAGACAACTGGAATGAGCTCAGTCCTTGTCTCTTCTATGACGTCATTATACTATGACGTCATAAACAATGAGGTACCAAGCCCCTTGCTACATATCAATCTTAGTACAATCATGATCGCCGGATAAAAGTTGGCGATATGCTTTTGGTTAGAATTCTGATGGGGAAATCATCTTAATTATCTTACATTATGAATAAGTTACGTTTTACTGATAATCTATTGGGAACGTAAATGTATAACACGCATGAAACGAATATTTGACGAACACGACCTCAGTTACATGTTGAATCCTAGAATGGACATTGTCGCGTTGTTGCCCTTACACATATAAGCACAAAGCGTAAAAATTATGCAATATGCATCAATGCCACAACGCTACATTTTGGCCATTTGTCGTATTGTCGCGCTTTGAATGAATAATATTTTTATTCTTGAAAAGAGCGACAATGCCACAAAGCAACAGGTTTCAAGGTCAATATGTCCTTTTGTCGTCAGATGTGTCAAAGACTGCTTAAAATACGCAACAATGCAGCAGTCTCACTTCTAGATACGCATGGCGATCACAAACTTCAAAATCAATGCTATCTAAAAATATAAAAAATGTTAAAGTACATGATAATCACTTGCAATCCGGGATATCTGCTAAAGATTTCGAAGAAAACTAATCATTACAGATAATTACGTTGGGAGAACTTTACCTTCGTTCAAAACATCCAGTAACAATTTACCAGTGGAAACAAGCCGGCGGAGGAAACAACGTCATTATCTGAAAAATAATGCCTTTGTGTGATGTTGGTGATATATTTCATTTTTTTTTCAGGACCAGTCATTTGAAAGAGAGAGGAAACAATTCATTCTTAGATAATATAACATGACATAGAACATAGAAAACTTTCGTTTAATTTCGTATAGTTTGAAATAATCAGTTTCTTTATCTGTTGTCCTAATATTATGTGGATCTAAGTTATTGTGTCTAAACATTTACACAACAGATATTGGGAAATTTCTTGACATTAGTGTAAGGATATACATGTACTTGTCTATCGGTCTCTCCATTACATGTGTAGCATGATAATATGGCCAAGGTGAGGTTATATAAGTTGTACTTTGTGAATAGTCGACAACAGAATACATATTGTCACATGCATACTTTGTACAGATGCAACAACAGAAACGCTTTTGTTTCAGCAAATTCCCGCCATATGACGTGGAGGTCTGTAAATTATCCATCCTCGATAATCTCCAGGGTATACGTTCCGATAAATATCCACTATACATAGATTTATCGGAACGTATACCCTGGAGTTTATCGAGGATGGAAATTATCCGGACCAGATAAACCCGTGACTGACATTGCAATCTTCGCCATCCCGGTTTTGACGAGACACTATCAACCGATTCATACCTTCCTCTTGCCACAGGTATAGGTTGTTGGGAAGGTAGTATAACCGGAATACCCACAGAGGCCATATTACGTTTACTGGTTGTAGTCTTTGACTAATTTATTGAGGAGATATCCTCGGTATCTGTTGATTGAGGGTTTGTGTCGGCGGATTTGAACTGCGTCTGCCAGTTTTCCTTTGATTAAGTCCTGGAGGTTTCTTGATAATATTCCACTTGATGTTGTGAGTATACAACAGTTGATTATGGGTTCTGAGATAGCTGATTTGCGCTCTGATTTTTTGGTCAGTGATGAGTGTTCTTTGATTATGAGGTTTATGGGGAGGGAGGTTTCTCCTACATATGCCTCACCACAGGCACAGTTGATTTTGTACACATCTTTGTTTTTGTTGTTGTTTAGAGGTGTTCCTGTCATTGGCTTGAAGTAGCGTTTTCAGTGAGATGGGGCTGATGAAATGGGTTTTCAGGGGCGTAGCTACCATTATTTAAAAGCCCGGGCTTACACATGATTGTTGCTAAAAGGTTGGGCAAGCTCTAATACTATCTAAATATGAATCTTGGCAACCTATCGGGTTTACACCAAAACAAATGGCTTGCTACGCGCCTGGTAGACTAACGCTTAGTCCCTGAATATATATAATTTTGATAGTAACAAATAAACCCATTTAAAATGAAAAGGAGCCCCGGTGAGTTGGGAGAGTCAGGAACCTGAACCTGAGGAAATCTAGACTTGCTTCATTTAGGGGTTTAGTACTGCAGAGAGGGCTAGGCTGTAGGGGAAATAATGTGGTTCAGGGACTGTGAGACAGACTACGCGCCTGGGTTTCAATGCCGGCTTGTCGTTTGAGGAGACAGATGATGTGGTGGGAGGTCTTTCCTGTGAAAGGGAGAGAGATACGGATGGGTGCTGGTTCAGGTTTGTTGGGACCCGTGAATGTACCTTCAGTAACCCATGCTTGTCGTAAGAGGCGACTAAAGGGATCGGGTGGTCAGGCTCGCTGACTTGGTTGACACATGTCATCGGTTCCCAATTGCGCAGATCGATGCTCATGCTGTTGATCACTGGATTGTCTGGTCCAGACTCGATTATTTACAGACCGCCGCCATATAGCTGGAATATTGCTGAGTGCGGCGTAAAACTCACTCACTCAGGTTTCTTGGCGCCTGGTTTACTTGCTGGATAGAGGGTGGTGATGATGATTTTGTCAACTAACTTGGGTGGGTATAGTGGTTAAACTGGATAAAGACATAACGGAGGTGGATTTCTGTGGTGGTGTTGGTAGAGCAGAAACTGATGGCGCGTCTGGTGAGGGTGGAGATGATGCCGGTTTTGGTTCTCAGGGGGTGGTTGGAGTCAAAGTGTATGTATTGGTCGGAGTGGGTTGGCTTTCTGTAGACACTGATTTGGATCTGGTGGGAGTTTGGTTATGGGGACATCTAGAAAGGGAAGTTGGCCTTTGATCTCTTTTTCTGTGGTGAACTGGATGCGAGGGTGATGTTGGTTGAGGTGATGCAGGAGGTTTTCACCGTTAGTGTTTGTATATTCTGTAGGATGACCCAGGTCACAGAGTTAGTGAGTGAGTGAGTGAGTGAGTTTAGTTTTACGCCGCACTCAGCAATATTCCAGCTATATGGCGGCGGTCTGTAAATAATCGAGTCTGGACCAGACAATCCAGTGATCAACAGCATGAGCATCGATCTGCGCAATTGGGAACCGATGACATGTGTCAACCAAGTCAGCGAAACTGACCACCCGATCCCGTTAGTCGCCTCTTACGACAAGATAGTCGCGAGTTAGACCACCCGATCCATTTTCGCAGCCTCAGACAATGGACGTAGGTTATTCAGTTCTGTTCAGTTCATTTATTCACCCAAACCACTCACAGTGGTACAGAGTACATTTATACATGAATAATGTCAAATCGATACGAGGCAATATCATTGAAGTTTTGAAAGATTTACATAAATACATGTAACATATTTGCTTTGCTTATCAATAATTGTGTAATTTCTTTCCATATTAAGAGCATGTAATTTTAATAATGAGGTCTTGTACAACAATACTTTGGTAATAACTTAGTTCTATCTTCTAATAAAGAAATACACTCAAACATATAGTGGTACTCATCACCCACTTCACGGAGTTACACATCAAACATTTCCGATCATTAATGGGGACGAATTCTACCACTGGGGCCATCAACAATATAAACATTACAATCTATCACACAAAACAAAACATATTGTCAGCATAGTTTACAATATGACGACTAACGTGATCGGGTGATCAGGCTCGCTGACTTGGTTGACACATGTCATCGGTTCCCAATTGCGCAGATCGATGCTCATGCTGTTGATCACTGGATTGTCTGGTCCAGACTCGATTATTTACAGACCTCCGCCATATAGCTGGAATATTGCTGAGTGCGGCGTAAAACTAAACTCACAATATGCGTGTAGGTAAGCCCTGTCTGAACTGATGCATGGAACGCTCACTATTTCTGTGTCCTGACTCGCTGCAAGGGTAGGAGACCAGTCAATCCTGTGTCAACATAGTCAATGTACCCGTGGATTACAATGTACACGTAACCAATTACATGTGTGGAACCAACAGTACAATTACCATTTCAGTTTCTTGCAGGGACATGTACAAAGGTCTACCCATATTGCATTCTAAGACATTAAAGGATTTTGATCACAGGATATAACAAAACAATTATTGATGTCCTTTATATAGTGTACAAATTGTTTATATATTGTAGACATGTTTACATGACTGTTTCGTTCTCTGGTAATTGTCTAACCAAGCATATATGTGTGGGCAATTTGGTGAAATTTGTTCGTAATACCTTTACCTTTAAATCACCTTAATTCAAATATTCGTATGTGTAATATGCACTTACTGAAACGATATACACTCTTCAGACACGCTTATGTGCCCCTTTTGATTCTGTTCCAGGTTTAAGTGTTGTTCTTGAAGTCACCAAACATACAAAGGCATTCAACATAGACTTCTTTGGGGGGCATTTTAGAAGTTGTATAGATGAAGGAAAACCAAGTTTTATGGATAGTCAACTTCTTATTGCAATGCGTGCCACGTTTCGGTGTAGGTACTAACACCGTTATCAAGCTAGTTATGATAACGGCGTTAGTACCTTCACCGAAACGTCGCACGCATTGCAATAGGAAGTTGACTATCCATAGAACTTGGTTTTCCTTCATTCAACTTTGAGTCAAACAATATTTTGGGAACGAATAAACGACCCGTGAAGATCCGGGGTAGAATAGGTCTTCAGCAACCCATGTGCTTGCCATAAAAAGGCGACTATCTTGTCGTAAGAGGCGACTAACGGGATCGGGTGGTCAGGCTCGATGACTTGGTTGACATGTCATCGGTTCCCAATTGCGCAGATCGATGCTCATGCTGTTGATCACTGGATTGTCTGGTCCAGACTCGATTATTTACAGACCTCCCCCATATAGCTGGAATATTGCTGAGTGCGGCGTAAAACTAAACTCACTCACTCACTCAACGAATAAACCCAACCGACATTATGTCGACGCTTAGAGCTGGTAGAAAGTTTCGTTTCCAAACAATTCAAAATGTAGGAAATTTTTTCTGCTGGTGGAGTGAAGTCAGGGTTTCTCCATAAAGGAGTATTTCTCTTTACTTATATAAGCAGCAGATTATCTGCACTCAGAGACCATATAATAGATATAATTATATGGTCTCTGCTGCACCTAACGAAGATGAAATTGAAAGTCAACATATCGTTTAAAACATTTATCGTATTGCCGAGTGTGGCGTGGAGCATCGAATGTTCAAAACGTCGAAGAAAAATTGGACAACTGAAGTGTGTCCAAGATAGTTTTATGGATTAAACTTCTTTTTAATTTCTCTCACGACGTTTCGAGACCATTCCAGGGTATGAAAATATTGAACTGCGAAAAATACATTCATAAATTTGGGTCTAGATTTAGTGACTTAATAATTATGAAAAATTATAATAATATATCAAATATCGACAATATTTACTTCTTATGATATAACACCTAAATGCATGATTTGCCACTGGTTGTCAATGAGACATTGTTTAATGCACAGCTGGTTTTTTTCCTTTTTGTTTTTTTTGTGTGTGTAAAATCAAAAATATACCCTAGAAGTATTGGTTTTCTCACAATATAACCAGAAAATGTAATATGGCTACAGAAGTGTTGTAAAGAATTCATGACAGGGAAATACGAATATCAAATAATATATCGAGAGAGCAGTTGTTAAATACTCATTCACAGTATATATTAATGATATGACCCTATTGCGTTGATAAATATTTTTCTAAAAAGTGAAATTGTAATTGAATCTTGATTTTGCACGTTAACTTGATTACTTTAATGATTAACTAAGACAAAATCACTCCATCACCGAAAAGGAAAATATCTTGAGCTCTGCCATTGGGCATGACAGACTCTACGGCAACGGCATAAGCCAGGGGAAACCACTCCCATCTTGCCCATAAACTAAAATTATCTGCTCTTGAGTTAATGAAAAGGTCACGGCCATTGTTAATCGCACGCGGACACCATTTGCTAGTATCCTTCCTTGATTATCAAAAAGGTATGTTGTTTCACACTTATTCCAACATTGAATCGGTTGGGAATAGTACTTTGTGATATCGACTCGATAGTTCTGTGGTTCACTACAGCAAATAACAATGTATCCGACGTTAAATCGGTGGTGCATTCTCCGTGTTGTTGAAGTGTCGAGGCGAATCATACAGTACAGTTTTATGCAATATAAAAGCACGCTATCTCCAAACGTAAAGCTGATTATTTGCGTGAAACTTGAACACCATTTTGTCACAGACTACAATGATCTTAGCTCCTTACAATTGGTCCGGACCAATTGTAAGTTTCGATTGCATTCCACGTCCCTTCATCAGCTGAACTGGCAGTTAGGACTATCACGTCGTCACTATGATGTTATAACTGAGTTATGACGTCACAATGCAAGTGACATCACAGTACACTAGGTGTACTAACATGACATTGTGGTTAAGGGTTGATCCTGTGTTCAGTCTCATTCTACTTTCTACTTGGGAAAGGTCTGGAAAAACAAGGAGGCCATGGATGTTTAGTAGAGCATATTACTTCCATAAGCTTTAAAGCTACCCCATACCAGTTCACATGAACGCCGATACCGACGACTGTAGACCTTGACCACCACCAGAGCTGCCCACCTGGAGTCCGTGAACAGCATACGGTCTTCTGAACCTCAGATGCTGTTGACACCAAGCTAGACGCACGTAACGGCGACCTGCAAGCAACATCTGGCCTATCACTCCCCCAACCGGTTGTGTACGGTTCTGACACTAATTGGTCTCAACGGAGCTGTTAATGTGGCAGTTTGGTATCGATTCCGATGATCCATCTGAACTTAGCCGTGATGACTCGCCTGTTGCAAGGCATGATGCTGTCCAGCTGTAGATATGTCTCCAAAATGTGATGATATTGTGTTTCGATGAACATTAAAATGTCTAGTGTGAACAATCATGTATGTGCAAATTGTGAGGAGTTGAGATTCCATCATAGATATGTTATGAAAGATGCATTAGTTTATTTCAGGACACATTTATTACTGTTGAACTTTATATTAAGCATAGTTTTCATCCCCTTAAACACACGGCTTTCCAGATTTGTCAGTGTTGTGTATACACGACAGACCATAAGGTGGTGTGTGTTGTTTAAGGCTGCACACAGCAATATTCCAGCTGTATGGAGGTGGCCTGTAAATACTCGACTCTGAACCAGACAATCCAGTGATTGAGCATCGATCTACACAAATTGGAACACGATGTATTTTATCAACAAAGTCAGTGAGCCTGACCACCCGATCCCGTTAGTCGCCTCTTACGACATGAAGATCAATTCTAACCCATATATTCAGTCACCAGGTGGTGATGTCTCAGTGCAATATGAAGAAATAATATATTTGTGGTCCTGAATTGCTTTTGAGTAGTATACATGCAAAAGGTTGAACCATTCTGTTGTAGTGGTACCAACTCATAACAGAACTTATATAAAACAGTATCTTATGTTTTGAACTTTTTGAAAACTGATCAGTGGTATGTTTGACTCTGTACATGTGTACCCATGCTGTAAACCTAACCAAAGGCAGTAGAGCTGTGACGATACATCGGAGTATCGATAATCGTGATACTTTATATGACGATAAATATATCGATACTTTTGTTCGTATCGTGATACGAATCGTTGACCTTAAAATTGTTAATGTTCACTAGAAATTGACGGTTATGTAAAAATTTACACTGTTACTTGCTATCAAAATATACTTTATTAAAGAAATGTAAATAGAGTGTCTTACCCATACAGGGTGCCGTTGTACAAAACAACCTTAGCGCTAAGACTACCTTAAGTCTATGTTAAGATATGGGAGTTACGGTCACCTTAGTGCTAAGACTACCTTAAGTCTATGTTAAGATATGGGAGTTACGGTCACCTTAGTGCTAAGACTACCTTAAGTCTATGTTAAGATATGGGAGTTACGGTCACCTTAGCGCTAAGACTACCTTAAGTCTATGTTAAGATATGGGAGTTACGGTCACCTTAGCACTAAGACTACCTTAAGTCTATGTTAAGATATGGGAGTTACGGTCACCTTAGCGCTAAGACTACCTTAAGTCTATGTTAAGATATGGGAGTTACGGTCACCTTAGCACTAAGACTACCTTCAGTCTATGATAAGATATGGGAGTTACGGTCACCTTAGCGATAAGATCACTTTGTACAACGGCACCCTGGCCAACACACACCTTGGAGTGAGTTTAGTTTTAGGAGGCACTCAGCAATACTCCAGCTATATGGCAGCAGTCTGTTAATAATCGAGTCTGGACCAAACAATCCAGGGATCAACAGCATGAACATCGATTTACACTTATATCAGTCATCGATGACCTGTCAACCCAGTCATCGAGGCTGACCACCTGATCCCGTTAGTCACCTCTTACAACAAGCATGGGTTACTGAAGATCAATTCTAACCCGGATCTTCACGGGTCACACACACCTTGGAGAAAGAAACACAACCATAATACAATGTTTCTAACAACTTTCCTAGTACCTACAGATGTGTGTCATGCAACAAGTGTAGGCTAATCAAAAACACAGTCGACACTCGGCAGTCTTGATTCGGCTGTTTTAATACATTAGTGCAACTTACAATAAACAAGCTGGACACAGCAACATACATGGTTCATCAAACATACAATATCACTTATGGATGTCCTCTGTTTATACACAGATAATATAGTGGTAACATGTACAGTTGTGTGAATGCATGACTCCAAAGTCTGGATGTCTACAGCATGGATGTCCTCACTTACTTCTTGGAACGATAAACTCATTAAGCAATATGTCAGAACCCACTCTTGTATACAAACCACCACACACCAGCGACACCACACACCCAGACCTGTAAAGCTGTATATTTGTACAGACACTTTGAACATTTACGCACACATACACACAGTTTGATAGTATCCATGCGTGTGGACATACACACTCACTCACACGCTGAACCTCTACACGCAGGAGTGGTCCTGATGCTGAGCATCTTTCTTCCCTACAGAATACTGAGGTCAGGTCCCGTGTGTTGGTCATCTTTACCTGTAACAACAACATGAAAGGTGATGATGTGATACACCATAGACATGAACTCCTAGAATTTCAATCCACGAAGATGATACATGAGGGACCATTCATAATTCATAGCTAGGGGGTGGTGATGATGATTTCTATGGAGAAGCATGTCCACAATTTTCAATATGCCCTGCTTCTTTATTTGTTGTTTAACATTACAGACAAAAACATTTAACTTATATAATGGCAGTCCATAAATAATTAAGTCTGGGCCAGACAATCAGGTGATTTAAAATCATAAGCATAGAACTATGCAATTAGGATACGATGGTATGTGTCAACAAAGTCAGAGAGCCTGACCAACGACCCCGAACCTGTTAGTCGCCTCTCATGACAGGCATGGGTTACTGAAGACCAACTGTAACCTGGATCTCCACGTGTAATGTATTTACCTGGAATAGATCTTCATTACAAGACGGATGGTGGCTGACTCTAATATATGATTTACACCAGTAGAGATCATGACCAGGAGTCAGGCACTACTTACTGTGGGAAGACACTGTCTGCGCACACTTGTTGAACAGGTCAAACTGAGGCTGGCAGTGGTCACTATGTACTGGGTTGGCCACCACGCAGGACTCGTATTTCTCAAACTGATCTGCACAGACTGTCTTGATCTTCTTGATTGTAGGCCTGTAACACAGTCATAGGTATTAGTCTGTAACACAGACATAGGTGTTAGTCTGTGACAGTCATAGGTGTTAGTCTGTAACACAGACATAGGTGTTAGTCTGTAACAGACATAGGTGTTAGTCAGTGACAGACATAGGTGTTAGTCTGTGACAGTCATAGGTGTTAGTCTGTGACAGTCATAGGTGTTAGTCTGTGACAGTCATAGGTGTTAGTCTGTGACAGACATAGGTGTTAGTCTGTGACAGACATGTTAGTCTGTTGTCTGTGACAGACATAGGTGTTAGTCTGTGACAGTCATATAGACAGTGTAGGTGTAGTCTGTGACAGACATAGGTGTTAGTCTGTGACAGTCATAGGTGTTAGTCTGTGACAGACATAGGTGTTAGTCTGTGACAGTCATAGGTGTTAGTCTGTGACAGTCATAGGTGTTAGTCTGTGACAGACATAGGTGTTAGTCTGTGACAGTCATAGGTGTTAGTCTGTGACAGACATAGGTGTTAGTCTGTGACAGTCATAGGTGTTAGTCTGTGACAGACATAGGTGTTAGTCTGTAACACAGACATAGGTGTTAGTCTGTAACACAGACATAGGTGTTAGTCTGTAACACAGACATAGGTGTTAGTCTGTGACAGTCACAGCCACAGGTGTTAACCTTTCATAAAGCCTTGGTAGTAAGCAATAATTATGTTATATGACCATGGCCTGTATATCATTGTAGCTATGCTCTGCCTATCATGACTGACTCCAAAAGCATAGAGTCAGAAGGGACTAATCAACTGCAGTAACCAGTAACCATATTCAGTCAGCCCTTAACACCATGCCATGTAATACCTACATTACAATTTTCATTTATGTCATTTAGTCCAAAAGGTAAAGACACTTATCTGTATTTCCTAATAGCTCAAAAAGTGCCCTATACTACATCTCTGTGTGATTATCACTTTGCTTGAAAATCAACACAATATAATTGGTGACAACATACTCCGTCTCAGCACAGCTGGCTAGTTTGAGCTTCTGTTTGTTGCAGTCGAGGTGCCAAGTTTCGGGGAAGTTGTTAATGCAGGTGGCGTAGGTGTTGAGGTAGCGGCCACACTGACGCTCCACCAGTTGCAAGGAGGCATTCCTGGTCAATAAAATATACAACTTACTGACAATAACAGACACTGTGGAAACATAATCATCCTAGTAACAATCACAGACACTGTGGAAACATAATCATCTTAGTAACATTCACAGACACTGTGGAAACATAACCATCTTAGTAACATTCACAGACACTGTGGAAACATAACCATCTTAGTAACATTCACAGACACTGTGGAAACATAACCATCTTAGTAACATTCACAGACACTGTGGAAACATAACCATCTTAGTAACATTCACAGACACTGTGGAAACATAACCATCTTAGTAACATTCACAGACACTGTGGAAACATAACCATCTTAGTAACATTCACAGACACTGTGGAAACATAACCATCTTAGTAACATTCACAGACACTGTGGAAACATAACCATCTTAGTAACATCTCAGTGTGGAACATAACCATCTCATTCACAGACACATAACCATCTTAGTAACATTCACAGACACTGTGGAAACATAACCATCTTAGTAACATTCACACAGACACTGTGGAAACATAACCATCTTAGTAACATTCACAGACACTGTGGAAACATAACCATCTTAGTAACATTCACAGACACTGTGGAAACATAACCATCTTAGTAACAATCACAGACACTGTGGAAACATAACCATCTTAGTAACATTCACAGACACTGTGGAAACATAACCATCTTAGTAACATTCACAGACACTGTGGAAACATAACCATCTTAGTAACATTCACAGACACTGTGGAAACATAACCATCTTAGTAACATTCACAGACACTGTGGAAACATAACCATCTTAGTAACAATCACAGACACTGTGGAAACATAACCATCTTAACAATTCACAGTAAACATAACCATCTTAGTAACAATCACAGACACTGTGGAAACATAACCATCTTAGACACTGTGGAAACATATCTTACAGACACTGTGGAAACATAACCATCTTAGTAACAATCACAGACACTGTGGAAACATAACCATCTTAGTAACAATCACAGACACTGTGGAAACATAACCCATCTTATTAACAATCACAGACACTGTGTGAAACATAACCAGTCTTAGTAACAATCACATGTGGAAACACCATCTTAAGTAACACTGTGGAAACATAACCATCTTAGTAACAATCACAGACACTGTGGAAACATAACCATCTTAGTAACAATCACAGACACTGTGGAAACATAACCATCTTAGTAACATATCACAGACACTGTGGAAACATAACCATCTTAGTAACATTCACACTGTGGAAACATAACCATCTTAGACACTGTGGAAACATAACCATCTTAGTAACATTCACAGACACTGTGGAAACATAACCATCTTAGTAACAATCACAGACACTGTGGAAACATAACCATCTTAGTAACAATCACAGACACTGTGGAAACATAACCATCTTAGTAACAATCACAGACACTGTGGAAACATAACCATCTTAGTAACAATCACAGACACTGTGGAAACATAACCATCTTAGTAACAATCACAGACACTGTGGAAACATAACCATCTTAGGTAACAATCACAGACACTAACAATCACAGACACTGTGGAAACATAACCTCTCTAGTAACATTCACAGACACTGTGGAAACATAACCATCTTAGTAACATTCACAGACACTGTGGAAACATAACATAACCATCTTAGTAACATTCACAGACACTGTGGAAACATAACCATCTTAGTAACAATCACAGACACTGTGGAAACATAACCATCTTAAACATAACCATTTTAGTAACAATCACAGACACTGTGGAAACATAACCATCTTAGTTAACAATCACAGACACTGTGGAAACATAACCATCTTAGTAACAATCACAGACACTGTGGAAACATAACCATCTTAGTAACAATCACAGACACTGTGGAAACATAACCATCTTAGTAACATTCAGACACTGGAAACATAACCATCTTAGTAACAATCACAGACACTGTGGAAACATAACCATCTTATTAACAATCACAGACACTGTGGAAACATCACAATCACAGACACTGTGGAAACATAACCATCTTAGTAACATTCACGGACACTGTGGAAACATAACCATCTTAGTAACATTCACAGACACTGTGGAGGAAACATAACCATCTTAGTAACAATCACAGACACTGTGGAAACATAACCATCTTATTAACAATCACAGACACTGTGGAAACATAACCATCTTAGTAACAATCACAGACACTGTGGAAACATAACCATCTTAGTAACAATCACAGACACTGTGGAAACATAACCATCTTAGTAACAATCACAGACACTGTGGAGAACATAACCACTCTTAGTAACATTCACAGACACTGTGGAAACATAACCGAAACATAACCTTCTTATTAACAATCACAGACACTGTAGAAACATAACCGTCTTAGTAACAATCACAGACACTGTGGAAACATAACCATTTAAGTAACAATCACAGACACTGTGGAAACATAACCATCTTAGTAACATTCACAGACACTGTCGAAACATAACCATCTTAGTAACAATCACAGACACTGTGGAAACATAACCATCTTAGTAACATTCACAGACACTGTGGAAACATAACCGTCTTAGTAACATTGACAGACACTGTGGAAACATAACCATCTTAGTAACATTCAGACACTGGAAACATAACCATCTTAGGAACATTCACAGACACTGTGGAAACATAACCATCTTATTAACAATCACAGACACTGTGGAAACATAACCATCTTATTAACAATCACAGACACTGTGGAAACATAACCATCTTAGTAATATTCACAGACACTGGAAACATAACCATCTTAGTAAGATTCACAGACACTGGAAACATAACCATCTTAGTAACATTCACAGACACTGTGGAAACATAACCGTCTTAGTAACATTCACAGACACTGTGTTAACACAGCAACAAATGTAGTAACTATCTTAACGTTCGTAACGTTGAAAAGATTATTGTCATGAGTTCAATAAATTATGAAATCCAGTGAAAATTGGCGAATTCTTTACAAGACTTCACACCAAAACGCAGCAATTCACATGTATGATATTTGCACATGCTTTTCAGCAATTTGATGCATGATCCTCGTGCAATTCATCCGAATAAAGTTTGCAGTTGGTTCCTACAAGTTAGTGAAGAAATTCATCTTCGATGTAACCATATATATGTACATAACATATAGTGAAAGTTTTAAGTGAGTCTAAACCTTGATGGGTAGTGTATATCTACAATTATACAAAGACAAAATACAAGAGGAACAATTCTTGTAGACTTGAATGATCATTCTAGATTTGTGTTGGACACCTTTTAACATTTATTCTCTATGGTCTGGGAGACAGACTATTCCCCAGGCAAACACTTCCACAATCAAGACATAGTTGTCCTTAGTAATCATTAGGCTGTCTGTCCTCTGTAACATGACAACTGTAGGTTGACCCTCTCACTGAGGTTACGTCAAACAAGACATGATCACCTGGATCACCTACATTTTGTTCACGTCCATTCCCTCCAGATGAAGACAAGCGCTGTGACATGTCACCTCTCCATCCTTGTAGCTGCAGTCATAGATGGAATAAGGAGGTAACATGCATAATAATGATGATAAGAATAAACCTGTTAATGATATAAGGTACCAGTATAGTTTATTGCCACCTTAATGTAATATGGATGCTGCATCCCAAAGGCATACACGACACACTGGAAGTTTTGTGGACTAACTATATTCTAAAATGTACTGTTCTTGAACTTTTGAAAGAAAATGGTAACACTAGAGGTGTTAATTTTGGTGTATAACTATGAATGATGATGTCAATCACTGGATTGTCTGGTCCAGATTCGAAATACTTACAGACTGCCGTCGAATAGCTGGAATATTGTTTAGTACGGCGTAAAACTAAACTCACTCACTCTTTCTAAACTGGAAGCTAGTTCCACAATCCAGTCTTTGTAAACACAAAATGTCTTAAGAAGTGTCTTTCATTGTGCTAAATTGCTCAATGCTGCATTAAACAACAAACAAAAAAAAATATTAATGATCGACATGTGGTGTTCAATTTTCTTATAATGTTGACACTGCACACAGTTATATCATCATGGTCTGTTTATGTGGGTCTCATGGCTATGTTGCCAAAGGAGGTAACTCTACATGACAAAATATACCATCACAGCTGCTAATAATATGATAATAGAACATACATATAAGGACTACATGTACTTTCAAATTGTACTGCAAAATTATGCAGTATATGCAGTACTTAGACACAGTATGATATGTATCAAAGTGTACAGGAAACTTGACTACAGGTCTGTGATAGGGTGAGGTAGGGTGAGGTAAAGGGCTTAAACAATGTATTCACGTTTATTGCATGAAGATGTGTTTGTGGATGCTTATCATAGTCCTACCTTATGCCAGTTAGTACTGATAGCCCACTCAGCCAGGGTTTAACAAGGATACTTCACACAGACATTAGTATGCTGACTCAGAGTGAGTGAGTGAGTTTAGTTTAATGCCGCACTCAGCAATATTCCAGCTATATGGCAGCAGTCTCTAAATAATCGAGTCTGGACCAGACAATCCAGTGATCAACGTCATGAGCATCGATCTACGCAGTTGGGATAGACGACGTGTGTCAACTAAGTCAGGGAGCCTGACCACCCGATCCCTTTAGTCGCCTCTTACAATAAGCATATGGGTTACTGAAGACCAATTCTAACCTGCTTCTTCACGGGTTGGCATTTAAGGCCATTATAGGGGATGCAGGCTGTTGACATTCATATTACTTTGGTGAATCCTACATTCATTGGTCATAGGGATCATAATCAGTGCAGGTACATTGAACCTATAATCAGCAGATCCTGGCATGACTAAGAGAGACAACTCTGTCAATAGCATTTCTGAGCCTAAGTAATTAGAACTCATAATTGTATGGTGGAATATGTTTTGTTTCTACTGATTTTACAAAATGTATATAGAGTTGAAGCTGCTGCTTTTAAGTTGTATTCAATACATAGTGTATTTGTTAATAACTTAAATAAAACTAATTGTAGGCTATACATTCTACGCGATTCTGCACTGTAGTTTAGACATGAATTTAAAAAACAAAAGGAATCAGATTGTGTTTTCAGTACGTATCAAACTGGACACAATATACCTAAATCAATATACTATATTGACAAGCTGCCATTAGAAAATAGATGTAAACAATATTGGTCAATATAATGGCGATGGCCACGGTTTTGTAAAAGCCTGCAATTGTGTTGTCTTGTCAGTAGCTGATCGCTGTTGTGTCTTACACGTTCTAAGTCACGACCCCTCATCCACAACAGAAACACATGTTTTGCACATCGGAGAAAATTACGCAAAATAACCGAATTGTTCATCACTTCAACGATAAACATATATTATTAGAATAATCAAATTTGACGAAATAGTCAATGATGCAATAGTTCAAGTCCCAAATTAGACGTGGTCTTGAATTAATTATCAACTTTCATGGAATCGAAACTGTGGAAAGCATTTACTGCGGTATTGGAAACTTCAAGATGGCTGCGCCCTTAAATGACGAGATCCAATCTGTTTCCTACTATAATATTCGACATGTAGCATTGCATGGATATGTTGCGCCTTTTATTTGCATTTATATAGCTTGGTTTTATACGTGGGCCACTGTCTATGGAATTCAAGATTACTACGAGGGCGGTTTGATAGCTCTGGCAATCATCGGCTTAGTGCAGATTCTGACGGCGTTGTTTTGTTTGTGGTCGATCCATGTGAGATGTGCTCTCACATGCTCTAAAGTAAGAATGGATACACATTGTGCCTATATTTCCTAAGCTGAGTAAAATATATCATACAACTCACTTAATGTGTCACTTTAAGCTAAGACTTTGCACTTTCACGAAATTTGGGTTCCATATGGCCAGTGATAGATCTTTGGTCATTGGTTTCAATTGCTTTACAGTTCCTTCTTATCAGGGTCACATTGTGTTAATTTCAAGTAATAACAAACTGAACAATTAAACCCTGAAAATCAGTTTTCATTTCATATGGAAGTCTATGAGTAATTCCTGAAATAGGATATAACTTGGGGCTGTTTTGGAGTCATTGGTTATAACCGGGCACAAACAATCCAAAGAAGTGCAGTTTGATGCTTGTTGTGTTGTTCATTCACTGCTACTTGCTGGCGGTGTTTTTGTCAGTTATGAGCCATGTCAGGTTAGACATATTAAATATTCTCAAACCATCGTTATGATCGTCATATGCCTATGGCTGGAGTTTTACTGATAGGAAATGCTGTTTAACATCACTTCACTGTGCTTCAGTGTGTGAAATAACTGTTGGCCCGCTAGCCCGTGGCTAGTAAAAATCCAGCCAGACCAGTAAATCTCCACAGTCACTGGCCCGACTGGCTATTGAATTTTCGTGGGATCATATTGTAAATATATCACTCTCTCCGACCGATTAAGTTAAATTCACTTTTAAATCATGCAAGATTATGGCCTGATAAAAATGTTCATCATATTAGCAGTTTAATGATGAAATCTGTGTCTACATTCAAATTTCGTCAAGTGAATTATTTTGTGGGCAAGTAACTTTCAGGCATAGCTTGCCCGCCTGGGTAGCATTATTTGGAAACTTTTTCGCACACTGTGATTAAACAGATGTAATTCTGTATTCAAGTGACATGAAAGAAATTATGTGGAGTTAACAGTGATGTGTTTATTAATTTGAAGGCTAGTAGTAAATTCTTTTTTTAAAACTTCTCTTTCCTTGATTAATGTTAAGTTAGCTCCTAATTTGTCAATCAACATATTTTGGTGATCAGTAAATGTACTCGGGTTCATCTGATATGAATCATTTATGATTTACATGTAATGGAAACTGAGTTGCCATGAGCTTGCACAGGAAGGTTCAAAGAACACATCTCACTATTCTCATCCCTTTGAAAATCAGAGTTAGAATTGTCATTCAGCAACAGTTAAGACTTGTGAGATGAAATTAAACATTGTTTTATGACAGCAATATTACTGTTAAACAGCAAACAAATATCTATTTAAATCTTAAATATCTCAAATAATGTGTAAATATTATCTTAAATGTCTTTTGAAATTAGCTTATGAAAATTATGAATATAAATCTCATGTCTTATAGTTGTGCGGAAAGTTAAGAGTTCCAATTTAAATAATCCACCATATATCTAACAAGTACATAACCGTTCAGAATAAGGCTATACAAATTCTTCATAATGCTGCTTTTTAAAATCACAACAAGAAGCCCATTTTCATTTATTTTGTAAAAGCATGATCACTTAATACATGTCTTCTAATGGATCATGTGTATTGAAAACTGCTAACATTTGACTGGATATATCCATATCACAAAAATATTGCTTGGATTCAAGAGTTTAAAAAATTATCCTATCAACATGATCAATGCTGGTATTTTACTGGTAAAGTGATTGTTACACTATTTTAGGTGCTTGGGGTCTTTCAGTGAATGTTCACCATAGCGTAAATATGTCACACCTTTTAAATCTGATTTTTGATTGATTAAGTGATCAGTTACACTCCTTGCCAGTCTGAGCCTCAGAATTTGATCGACTATTTCAACAACAAAACCACTTAATGTATTGATCAAGGCTATACTTTCACGTTAATCAACTTATTCAACTTTCAACAGGAAACCAGTCCATTCAAGGCATCCTGGGTGAAAGTTGTGCCCACACCAAATAATGGATCTACAGAACTTATTCGATTGCATCACCAAAAGGTAAAGTAAACAAACTATGAAGTTATCATTGCAATTAGTAAGATGTTGAATAAGGATAATGTTTTATGTCTTGCCTTTGTGTGGCTTTATCATAACAGCTTTGACTCGTTTGAGACAGATGCAGTGTAATGATTTAGTTGATGCTTGGGACTGCCGTGTCTTCATGAAAACCTTTAAATGGCATGTTGGAAGATATGTTGAATATATCTTGCTTCATTAACGATTGAAAACAAGTGTAGCAATATAATTTCGATTATTGAATTTCTTTTCGAAAACCAAGGTATCTAAGTCCTTTATAATGGTTATTGTGCTTAGATTTACTCTATGTAAAAAAAAGCATCCTATAATAATTCTGTATCCAAACAACAAATAATTTTGTCTTCAGAAGGAGAAAGGGGAGGAGATATGGTTCAACTTCCAGAAAACGAAATACCTGTATGATGCAGAGGAGCGGAAACAGTTCTACACGTTGTCCTTCCCCGACAACCACAGCATCAAGTATTACATGGAGTGGAAGGGGTACCAGGATGAAGGGGAGATGAAGGCGGCAGAGTCCAAGTTTGGACTCAACAAGTCAGTGTTCTTGATTCAGATTTAGAATTGATTACCATCAACCTATGCTTGTATGAGGTGACTAACTGATTGGAGGTTGTCATGGTGACTTGGTTGATGAGTGTTATCATGCCCAACTCGATTTTTGTGAAAGCTGTGGTGGCTGAGTAGGTTAGATCGCTGACTCTGTTTGGCTTAACTTTGGTTCATGACTTGGAGTGTGTGGGTTCAAATCCCATATAGGACTTACCCTAAAAGAGTACTAGAATCTGTACTTTTCTGAGAAAGAGTAATCCCAAATACAACATGTTACCAATTGTGTCATTTGTAAGGCTATTGTGATATGTGTGAGGGGGCACCCACAGATGTTGAAATTCTGAGATATGACTTAGCATAATTCAAAGAGTAATGATCCCAATAATAAACTTTGTGTTTAGTAAACATGATCTTTCCAAACCACCAATCAGATTAGTGGTTTAATAACAAGTTATTATGGTGGAAGACGCTGTGGCTGAGCGGGTTAGGCGGCTGACTTTGTGTGCTGACGATTAGGTGCCTGACTCTGAGGGTGTGGGTTCGAATCCGGATGGGACTCAAGCAAACAAAAGTACTAGAATCTGTACTTTACTAAGAAAGTGTAATCCCAAATATAACATATGTTACATTTGGCCACTTTCTGAATGGCATTGTGAATTCATTAGTAGAATGCTCATGATACAGTTTATCTATTATTTGTAAGAAACACTACTCCAGTTTGTGGCACTACCATGTTTACCATTCCGTCATTCTAGCATGACAATGGACATCCCAGCTTTCATGGAGCTGTTCAGTGAGAGAGCCACTGCTCCGTTCTTCGTGTTCCAAGTGTTCTGCGTGGGTTTGTGGTGCCTGGACGAGTACTGGTACTACAGTGTGTTCACGCTGTTCATGTTGATAGCGTTCGAGGCCACGCTCGTACAACAGCAGCTGCGCAACATGTCGGAGATCAGGAAGATGGGGAATAAACCCTATGTTATGCAGGTGATGATCAGTGTGTGAAATATTTTCTAAATTTGCTACCCAGTTGGGCTAGCTATGAAAGTTACCAGCCAACAAGATAATTCACTAGACCGAAATCTGAATGTAGAAACTAAGCAAATGAATACAGAAATGAGAATAAGATATTGCCTACATGACACAGGTTTCATCATTAAGCTGCTAATATGATAAACATTTATCAGGCCATAATCTGGCATGATTTTAAAGTATATTATAACTTAACAAGTCGGAGAGAGTGATATATTTACAAAATGACCCCATGAAAATTCACTAGCCTGTTTGGCCAGTGACTTTGAAGATTTAATGGTTCGACTGGATTTTTACTAGCCATGGGCTAGCGAGCCAGAGTTGAGTCAGGAGACATTGTAAACATTGTCTTATACAGCTTTTCAAAACTAGGTGGATGTTTTTATTGGTCAGCAATGTCCAAAATTAAGAAGTAAAGTCAAGACGTCCCTCTCCTGGTTTATGATGTTAAAAACTAAGTAAAACCTGGTCAACTCATGTTTCCATGTTTCAGGCCTATCGGAACCGAAAGTGGCTGCGGACTTTGTCTGATGAAATAGTTCCGGGTGACATAATCTCAATAGGTGAGATATATGATGAGACGTGTCTGTTGTTGATCAGACATAAGAAGCATCTTTCACCTTTTTGGAGCACATGGAACCTTGTTATAATTGCAGAGTTATGTCCCTTAGGTTATTTTGATTGTGGGTTTGAATCCAAGATTTGCACTGGTTATGATCCTAGGTTTGTCAGTGGCAGTGAGTGCTCCCGGGTTTCAGCAAAGTGGTAAACATTAGACATTCTTAACCTTCGGCTTTATCTGACTCCAAGGTGTTGTTATGTCAACATCTGTTCATTGTTCATTGTAATTCACTCAATATTGGAATCTGAGATGCTCTTGAAATCAATTGCTCCTGTTTCACAGTACTGGAATAGTGAGGTGAAATTGGGTTTAACGTCGTGCTTGAGAATATTTCACTCATATGACGACGTGCATGCGTGTGTATGTGCGGCTGCTTGTACTAGCCCAGACTGAAGCTGGTTTATAGTGCTAGCCCACTGAGATACCATGCCGCAGTGAAGCATGAATATCCCACTCAGACACATTATACTGACTCTGAGCCGACAAGTACTTGTTGTACCCATAAATGCGCCAGGCAGGGACCAACAAGTACCATAATTTTTTCTTATCCTGACTCAGGTTTATTTGCTTGTCTTCTTCTTCTGGCGAACCTAGTGGAACACTTGTATCCCCCAATTGAAGTTCCCTTCAATAAAAAATCACTCATTAGTACTGACCACGAGTTACCTCCCTTCCACAAGCGCGGGAACGAGGGCGTCACCTGAACCCACGTGCCTCACTCTCTCCTTCTTCACCCAGTGAGCAAGACGTGAGAGCACCTGTGTCTCCCTGCACACTATATCCTTTATTTATATTTAGTTTGTTACCTCTTATATTCATCTATAGAGGTGTAACTAGTATCATTCAACATGCATTGATAATTATTCGTGTTTCTGCTGCTTGATTCACGGTTCGCCGTGTTTGCTCAGCAGTTTGCGTTAATAAAAATCTGCACTGTTTGTAAATTATCAGAGATGCCTACGCTGACGCCGGAGATTATAACTGAGGGTCCCGTCACTATCACAGAGAGGACACCCTCAACGCCAGCGCAGACCATCCCAGACGACCTGGTCAACCAAATCATGAGGCTGATGGAAGACCGTTACGGCTTACAGAGGCCTCAGAGCCACGGGCCCCAGAGCCCACCCCATACTAAGTCATACAGGGCCCCAGAGCCCGCCTTGACTTCGCGTAGGGCCCCTGAGCCCATAGACGCCGCCTCTCCGCGAAGCAACAGGCAACCCTGCCGGAGTGAGCTCTTTTGCATAAGGTATCCCAGGCCGCCTCGAGGGAGGAGCTAGAGCCTGACCCTTTGCAAGAGGCTTCGGAGAAGGAGTGCTTCGCCCTAGCACGCACCTTGTCATGTACGGTATGGGCGCTCGCAGCAAACCAGCACTCATATGTCGGATCGACACTGACTCCAGACAAGACGCAAGACGCGAAGGTTGCGTGGTTCTACAACGCTTAGAGGATGCTTCCATGTAGCCCTCAACGCTCGAGAAGTCCAGAGCGCTGCATGGCCATCACCGTTCTCAAAGCCCACAGTTTCAGCGAAGGATGTCTTCTTCAAGGTCTACATACACTAGCCAATCGTCCAGTCCGTTCTCCTCTCAGTCCTCACATAGATCTTCTTACAGATCGAATCCTCCGACATATCACACCATACGCCAGAGGAAGACGATGGTATCATTTAAGATTGAAGGAGCGCCACGAGCCCACACCCTGTAGAACACAGAGGTCGATTCACGGCAAGCGGCCATATATTGATCGGACTCTGATCTTCGATTTCGCGAAGGTCAAGGCTAAGTGGCTCCAAGTTCATTTCACCCAGAAGATCTAGAAGCGCTATCTTGAGATCTTTCAAGAAATCCTCGGGTGTCAGCGAGGAAGTCTCCTCCGTTGGTCTCCATATACTAGCCACTGGCCATATATAGCCAATTGCCAGTCCGCTCAAGACATCACATGAGTTGTTTATCAACTGTAAGCCATATGTCCGCCTACAAGCCTACGCCAGACAATTGCACAGGCTATTTACAACACACAACGCCGCTGTATTAATTTATCAACGGATGAAGAGCCTAATTAGGGATCTTCAAAAGCCGACTACCTACCTACGACGATACGATTATCTACATGCGACCATTACGCAGATCTGCAGACAATTCAAAACGAGAATTGAACAGCAGTCTTGTTACAGCTTTAGTAAAACTCATAATCGTCAACCATTTCCTCAGAAGTAATATGTACAACAAGTTCAGCTTTAACAGTCTACAAGCTGACAACTTGCAAAGGTTATTGAACCTTATATAAGGAAGTCGAATTATCTTCAAGACTGAAGTTACTTTCACGACAGCCTGGAAAATAACTTACCCAGCATTAATATTACAGAGCGAGGTATTTCGCTACCGGAGGTTTCAGCTACAAGCACCATCAACCCTCGTAGAACACGTGGTCACTCGGGTAACTTTGGGAAGTTACGGTGAAGACCGATGATTGTTCTAATATCAACGACGCACTATATTAAACAAGGTTCCTTTCCTGATACACCGTGACGCCACAGCTGGCGATTACTGGACAGAATCAAAATGCCTTGTTCTGATTGGACAGAGATGGACAACGCCCTCGCAGAGGTCGATCATAATTCACAGTTCAACACTTAGGTTGCAAGTGACAACAATATATCAGTGAACGAGCAAGTCTCCTTACAGTCCAGCTAATCTAAACCTTCATGATTGGGCTGCCTTCTTGAGGTTAGAGACCTCCCTGTCAAGTAAGGACGAGGACACGGGCAGTCAGACGATTTTTACATAAAGTTCAACGATGGCAGTCACCCCTGGTTATGCATCTACATCGTCAAGCGCTTCGCAGCTTAATTTACCTCGACGACAGGATACAAATGGATCCAAATCCATAGCGCCTCAGACTACAGTTGAATTCATCATCAAGCTACTAACACAACTAGATGGTTAGTAAACCTACTTAAGTTGGACCTAGAACCTTCGCGAAGATCTGCTATTTCTAGGTTTTGATTTGTAACAGCGCCAGAATCGTATAATTGTACCGAGGACCATGGATCAAGATCCAACAGTCATTTCCACATGCCTTACTATCTCCGCTACCACTACGACAGTGACAGAGTCTGTTGGGGTTACGCACTTCAGCTCAGCTCAAGACATGACAGACAGAGGCAGACTACAATTACATCCGTTACAAGTCATCAGCAATTAAGCATCTAGACGAATCTCTACCGCTCAATTCATCGGTTCAGGTCAAACCTCATCTACTATGATGCACCAAGAGATCGAATGTTTGAATAGGTGTCTCGTTAATAGAGCTGGAATCGATAACACTTCTCTACGTAGATGTGTCACTATAAGGTTGGGGAGCCCATCTTGCCAACAGGACAGCATCAAGGCTATAAGCAATCAAGAGAGCAATTACACATAAATCTGCTAGAGATGCAAGCAGTAATAAACGCCTTAATACACTGGAGCAACTTACTACAGTATACCCAGTGGATGATTCACACAGTCAATTCGACAGTGGCGTTTTATGTGAACAAACTAAGCTCAACCAGGTCCCCGTCGATTTAATCAACAATCTCAACATACATGTCAGAGCATATCACATTCCAGGAGCAAAGAATGTGATAGCAGACGCTCTCTCTCGGTCACACATACCATCGCCGACAGAATGAATGCTCCATACAGAGATATTCACTCAAATTATCAAGGAACACTAATAGACCTATTTACCATTCGATTCAACAAACAACTGACAACATTCGTATCGCCAGTTCCAGACCCACTAGCATTGGCAATAGACGCACTAAGCATATCGTGGGAAGATCTCAACGCGTACGCTTTTCCGCCACCAGCGTTATTCTCACAAGTTTACTCTAAATCAGTCTAAAGCAGAGCCTCCATCTGATTTTGGTCACGGCCTACTGACCAGCGAGGAAGTGGTTTCCAACTCTTATTCAAGAAATCGGACAACCAATACTACATCTTACAGAGTGCTCGAATCTGTTAATACATCCGCACACCAAACAAGCGCACGGAAAGCCAGATATATTCCAACTTCACATATGGATTGTATCAAGTCGTGTCTGAAAAACAAGTTATTCAGCCAGAGCGGCAAAGCAGTCTAACTTGCCCTGCGTAACTCAACTGGCAACTTATACGATGACAAATGGCACAGTTTTGTCAATTATGCTGCAAAGGAAGGATTTACAGCTAGATATGCTACTCATCCTCAAGTGGCGGACTACTTATGTTATCTACGTCAGACTAAGATTTTATAAGGCTCAGCTTGTCCACCTATCTTGCAGCAATAGCTCTATCATAACTGAGAACGGGCGTCAAGTTAACCTAACTCCAGTTACTGCGCCTGCTACGAGCTTTCGATTGGAGGATTAAAACGGAAGTTCACGCTCCAACTTGGGATCTGAATATAGTGCTCCAACACCTCACAAGTGAGGTTTATGAACACGCTTTGATGATATACTTGAACCCCATGATACGATGAATCTATCACGATGGCCAGTAACAGCACTGAAAATATATCTCCACCGAGCCAAACAGGAGGGAAAATGCAAGAGATTTATTTCCTCTATCAAGCTACGCAGACGAAAGTCTCACGTACTACTATATCTCCTTTTGGATCAGAACTGTCATACTACGTGCCTACAAGACTGTAGGACTCTACCCTCCATGAGCTTCTAATCCTCATAATATTAGAGCGCTAACATCTACAATTGCTCTACACAAATGCTTTTGGAATAATGGAGGGTTATTTCTGGAGATCCGATATGGTGTTTGCCAACCACTATCTGAGAGATATCACCACCGAGGACGTCTCAGGTATCCACCTATTCGGTCCCATGGTCCTCGCACAACAGTTGACAGTTCCTCGGAGAAGATAAGTCCATCTTACAGAATTTTACTTATCTTATAACAGTACTAAATAGCTACATGCTATATATATTTTGCTTAAGTTCAATTTATTATCTTAAGCTCAGTACTATGGTTATTATATCATACAATATGTAAGCTAACAACTCTACGGAGTTTGTTATTATATATTTAGCTTAAGTTAATCATATCTTAAGCTCAGTACTATGGTTACATTATAAATATATTAGCTAACAAACTCTCATGGAGTTTTTTGCTATTATATATATAGCTTAAGTTTATTCATATCTTAAGCTCATTACTATGTTTATATCATATAAGTATATTAGCTAACAAACTCTAAAGAGTTTTTTGCTATCATATACTTAGCTTCAGTTTCATCATATCTTAAGCATTATGGTTACATTATAACATGTATTAGCTAACAAACTCTACGGAGCTTTTTGCTATTATATATGTAGCTTAAGTTTATTCATATCTTAAAGCTCAGTACTGTGTTTATATCATATAAGTATATTAGCTAACGAACTCTAAAGAGTTTTTACTATCATATACTTAGCTTAAGTTTCATCATATTTTAAGCATTATGGTTACATTATAAAATGTAATAGCTAACAAACTCTATGGAGTTGTTTTGGCTATTTAGGTTGCTAAAGTTAATTATATCTTGAGCACAGTTCTATAACCATACTATATATATGCCTACAACTCTTAGGAGTTCTACTATTATATATATGTTCAGCTTAAGTTTCAATCCTTAAGCTCAGTCATATGTTCATTTCATAACATGTATTAGTTAACAAACTCTCAGTAGTTGGTTACTATTATACAGCTTAAAGTATCATTATACCTTAAGCACAATTCTGTTATAACTTACATATATGCATATTGTAAGCTTACTACTTTGGTTCTTATAAAAGTATTCATTATAAACTATCAACAGTTTATACTATCACATTAATAGCTTTAGCTTAATTAATGTTCTATATACTTTATTATATTCAGTAAATTGTAATAACCCTATATATGGCAACTGATAAGTTAACAGCAGGAATTCAGTTCAGTGCCTTCATGAAGTTCCCTTAGGGTTATTACAATTATCTCAGTTCAAATCACTAATTAGTAAAATCCAAAGTATATATAATCCCACCTCCTATTCATTAGGATTCTACAAGCAATAAACATGAGTCAGGATAAGAAAAAATATGAAATTTTTGAGAGTAAAATTAATATTTTTATACTTATCCTGACTCATGAGGTGGCCTCTCCCTCCGTCCTCCCACTTAACACTTTGGATTTCCTGGAAATTCAGGTGTTGGGCTCAGTATATGAGGAGAGAGAGAGGCACGTGGGTTCAGGGTGGCTCCCTCGCCCCGGGCCAGCTTGTGGAAGGGAGGTAACTCCTGGTCAGTACTAATGAGTGATTTTTTATTGAAGGGAACTTCAATTGGGAGATACAAGTGTTCCACTAGGTTCGCCAGAAGAAGAAGACAAGCAAATAAACATGAGTCAGGATAAGTATAAAAATATTAATTTTACTTTAAAAATTTCATTTTTAAAGTCTTTTGGTATGACGCGGTCAGGGATCGAACCCATGACCTTCCGCTCTCCGGGCGGACACTCCAACCACTACACCACGGTGTCGGTCTCTGGAATAGTGAAACAAGTAAATCATCAGAGTAGGGTTTTATAAATCCTGTACCTATAGATAGAAAACTCCGAGCCCCGTCGTAAATAGCTTTAATATTGGTGATACAGAAACAAGCAACAATAATTTATATTCATTCTGACGAGAGATTTCATAGTCAGTCAGGTGACAACATATCTTGTGGAGAGGTTTGAAAGTTTGTGGTAAACAATATTGGGTTGAGTTTCACACCTGACTCTGTTGCAGGGCGATCCCAGGACGACCGCCTCGTGCCATGTGATATGCTGCTACTGAGGGGGCCCTGTATAGTAGATGAGTCCATGTTGACAGGAGAATCTGTGCCAGTCATGAAGGTCTGTGGCAAACACAAATAACTGGTGGCATATAATAATAATCATTTCATTGTTTTAGTCTATCCTATGTATGAATGCTAAACAAACTGATTGTATGATCCAGCCAGTAAGACATTCAGTGGAGACTTTTTGTATGACTTGATTTGGTAATTTTATCTTGTCAGAAGGTGGGAAATTAAAGGAGATGAGTAAAGTGTTAATCATTTGTTGGATGAAATAGTAATTTGTTCTTTAAAATGTTTTCTGCATGGAAGTGTTTTTATCAGAACAAAGCTGAGGTGATTTTTGGAATGTTTTCTATCACTCTTTACATATTTATGTTGGTGAAATTATAAAGAAGAATTGTTTCAGAGGAATTGTCGCCTTATGTTTCTTTGCTATACCCTGGTCATGCTGATACCCTGTCTAAGCCAGTTTTCAAGGGTTCATTTATCAGTAATGGTTCTGTGATCAGTGATAAGAATGGGTGCAAAATCACTGATTGATTTCTTTTCAATTTTCCAAATTGCTGACAACTCATGGACTATTGGTATTTACAGGAACCGGTAGAGAACATGGACATTGATCACGTGTTTGACCTGGAGCATGACGGTAAACTGCATGTCCTGTATGGCGGTACGAAGGTGGTGCAGCACTCGCCTCCGAGCAAGACCGGACCGGGACTCAAATGTGAGCACTTATTCAGTCAACATTTGTTACAGTTGGACTGGATAGAATTTTCTTAAAAATGTCTGTTACCAGGACCTGAGGGCCATTGTAACAAGATCAATGCTCATGCTGTTGATCAATGGATTGTCTGGTCCAGATTCAATTATCCTGCATTGTTCTGGGCTTTCCTCAGGGTGGTGGGGTAGCCAAGTAGTTAAAGCGTTCGCTTGTCATGCCAAAGACCCAGATTTGATTCCCCACATGGGTATAATGTGTGAGGCCCATTTCTGGTGTCCCCTGCCATAATATTGCTGGAATATTGCTAAAACCCAACTTAAACTAGATCCTCATCAATAGTACTAATCACCTTCACTGTGTTTCAGCTAGTGACAATGGGTGTATCGCGTTCGTGTTGCGGCATAGTTTCAACACATCTCAGGGCAAGCTGCTGCGCTCAATCCTGTTCGGTGTGAAGAGAGTGACGGCCAACAACCTCGAGACATTCTGCTTCATCCTGTTTCTCCTCATCTTTGCCGTCACTGCAGCCAGTTATGTCTGGATAGAAGGTGCTTTAATTTCTATTCTGATTCAAGTCTGATCCTGTAAATATTTGAATACTGGCTGTGGTTGGTTTAATACTCAGATGATAATATCCTGAATGTAGTTTACCTAATTGTTGACATAATCTTATGATTAATATGTTTGCCAAGATTTGGACCTCAGTCCCACCCCTGTGCTTGTGTTCACCATCGATTTCTTCACATTGGAACATTGGTCTTTCATGATATATTCGTGATTTTATGAAAATGCTGTTTAAAGGTGCATTGAACTAAACACATGGCAGAAATTATACCATCTAGCTGAGGCATATTCTGCTGCTTGGAAACTCAGACTACGAAAAATTACACTTTGCTAGCAGATCTATTCACATCATGAGCATGGTTAAACAACTGCTAAGAAATATTTGAGAACCAGAAGTTTTCAGATAAGGGTGACTATGGATGAGTATTTCACGTTGTTTTGTTGTGTTTCAGGAACCAAAAATCCTGACCGAAACCGCTACAAGTTGTTCTTGGAGTGTACTCTCATCCTGACTTCTGTAGTACCGCCGGAGCTGCCTATAGAACTGTCTCTAGCTGTCAACACATCGCTGCTGGCTCTCACTAAACTGTGTATGTAGACACATGGTTTTATGGAACTTGTCAAAAAGTTCATCATGTTTAAAAGACAATGAATTGTGTCCAGCATGTTCTGTGATCCATTTACTTGCTCATGCAATGGAAAGGGAGATAACTTTAATGGTTTTCAAATGGGTGGTCTCCCTTTGTCCATATTGGAATATATAGCGGTTCACACGTGACACCTACTGACCAGTCTTTGATGCATGTTGTAGATGTGTACTGCACAGAGCCCTTCCGTATACCCTTCGCGGGTAAAGTAGACATCTGCTGTTTTGACAAGACTGGCACTCTGACAAGTGACAACCTTGTGGTGGAGGGTGTAGCTGGCCTCAAGTAAGTACTGGATCGGATGCTGTACACTATCAGTGGTTCTCTCAGATTTGGTGTCATCTCATATTGCTAGTGCAGTGTTCGAGGTAAAGTGTGAAACTCTTTTCTTGTCTCTTTTGCTTAAAGTTAAAGATTTAGGGTCTCTTTGGATTAATATTTTGGGAGCAAACTTCAAGGAACCACCTTAGTATCAAAAGCTGTGTCAGATGTGACAAACTGAAGTACTTTCTTCATGTGGGGGCGGTGGGTTAGTCTAGCGGTTAACACGTTTGCTCATCTTCGTTCGCCAAAGATCGGGGTATGATTCCCCACATGGGTAAATTATGTGAAGCCCATTTGTGGTGTCCCCCACCATGATATTGTTGGAAAAGAGACGTAAATGTAAAGTCACTCACTCACCACTCACTTTCTTCATGTAAATATTATCAGTGATTTATAGATTGTCCTCTTATATTTGAAGTAGATCTGAGACTTGTTCTGTACTATTGTTAGTGGGTCAGAGATCATCTCGGCACAAGAAGCTCCCCTGGAGACGGCGCAGGTGATGGCAACATGCCATTCTCTGGTACAGCTGGATGATGAGATGGTGGGAGACCCGCTGGAGAAAGCCACTCTCAATGCTGTAGAGTGGACACTCACTAAAGGTAGGAACAGTGGTTGCCTTATCTGTGGAGGAGAGGTTGTCTGATCTGTGATGGCGATGTCTGCTAGTCTGTGAGGGACATGTCCTTTGATTTGTGATGGCATCCTTCAGACAAATATGTGATTAGGACATTTCTATTTCGTCTGACTTCCATCTTGTTTTCTCCTCTTTAGGTGAGGCTGTGGTTCCACAGAAGAAGAAGACCCATGGGATGAAGATCTTCCACAGATTCCACTTCTCCAGCGCCCTCAAGAGAATGTCGGTGATAGCTGGTCACACAGCGCCAGGCTCCATGGAGACGGACTACATGGCCACAGTGAAGGGAGCACCAGAGACACTTAAACCCATGGTGAGACACTTGCATCTATGTTTAGACACTTAAACCTGTGGTGAGACACTTAAACCTGTGGTGAGACACTTGCATCTATGGTTAGACACTTAAACCTGTGGTGAGACACTTGCATCTATGGTTAGACACTTAAACCCATGGTGAGACACTTGCATCTATGGTTAGACACTTAAACCTATGGTGAGACACTTGCATCTATGGTTAGACACTTAAACCTGTGGTGAGACACTTGCATCTATGGTTAGACACTTAAACCTGTGGTGAGACACTTGCATCTATGGTTAGACACTTAAACCTATGGTGAGACACTTGCATCTATGGTTAGACACTTAAACCTGTGGTGAGACACTTGCATCTATGGTTAGACACTTAAACCTATGGTGAGACACTTGCATCTATGGTTAGACACTTAAACCTATGGTGAGACACTTGCATCTATGGTTAGACACTTAAACCTATGGTGAGACACTTGCATCTATGGTTAGACACTTAAACCTATGGTGAGACACTTGCATCTATGGTTAGACACTTGCATCTATGGTGAGACACTTGCATCTATGGTTAGACACTTAAACCCATGGTGAGACACTTCTATGGTTAGACATCTATGGTGAGACACTTAAACCCATGGTGAGACACTTGCATCTATGGTTAGACACTTAAACCACTATGGTGAGACACTTGCATCTATGGTTAGACTTAAACCTGTGGTGAGACACTTAAACCTTAAACCATGGTGAGACACTTGCATCTATGGTTAGACACTTAAACCTATGGTGAGACACTTGCATCTATGGTTAGACACTTAAACCTATGGTGAGACACTTGCATCTATGGTTAGACACTTAAACCCATGGTGAGACACTTGCATCTATGGTTAGACACTTAAACCTGTGGTGAGACACTTGCATCTATGTGGTGAGACACTTAAACCTATGGTGAGACACTTGCATCTATGGTTAGACACTTAAACCTGTGGTGAGACACTTGCATCTATGGTTAGACACTTAAACCTATGGTGAGACACTTGCATCTATGGTTAGACACTTAAACCTATGGTGAGACACTTGCATCTATGGTTAGACACTTAAACCTATGGTGAGACACTTGCATCTATGGTTAGACACTTAAACCCATGGTGAGACACTTGCATCTATGGTTAGACACTTAAACCTATGGTGAGACACTTGCATCTATGGTTAGACACTTAAACCCATGGTGAGACACTTGCATCTATGGTTAGACACTTAAACCTCTATGGTGAGACACTTGCATCTATGGTTAGACACTTAAACCCATGGTGAGACACTTGCATCTATGGTTAGACACACTTAAACTTGCCATGGGTTAGACACTTGCATCTATGGTTAGACACTTAAACCTGTGGTGAGACACTTGCACATCTATGGTTAGACACTTGGTTAAACCTATGGTGAGACACTTGCATCTATGGTTAGACACTTAAACCCATGGTGAGACACTTGCATCTATGGTGAGAGACACTTAAACCCATGGTGAGACACTTGCATCTATGGTTAGACACTTAAACCCATGGTGAGACACTTGCATCTATGGTTGGTTACACTTAAACCCATGGTGAGACACTTGCATCTATGGTGAGACACATCTATGGTAAACACTTGGTGAGACACTTGCATCTATGGTTAGACACTTAAACCTATGGTGAGACACTTGCATCTATGGTTAGACACTTAAACCCATGGTGAGACACTTGCATCTATGGTTAGACACTTAAACCCATGGTGAGACACTTGCATCTATGGTTAGACATGGTAAACCCATGGTGAGACACTATGGTGAGACTATGGTTAGACACTTAAACCCTTATGGTGAGACACTTGCATCTATGGTTAGACACTTAAACCTATGGTGAGACACTTGCATCTATGGTTAGACACTTAAACCCATGGTGAGACACTTGCATCTATGGTTAGACACTTAAACCCATGGTGAGACACTTGCATCTATGGTTAGACACTTAAACCCATGGTGAGACACTTGCATCTATGGTTAGACACTTAAACCCATGGTGAGACACTTGCATCTATGGTGAGACACGTAAACCCATGGTGAGACACTTGCATCTATGGTTAGACACTTAAACCTAGACACTGGTTAGACACTTAAACCTATGCATTGCATCTATGGTTAGACACTTAAACCCATGGTGAGACACTTGCATCTATGGTTAGACACTTAAACCTATGGTGAGACACTTGCATCTATGGTTAGACACTTAAACCCATGGTGAGACACTTGCATCTATGGTTAGACACTTAAACCCATGTGATGAGACACTTGCATCTATGGTTAGACACTTGATACCTTGCATCTATGGTTAGACACTTAAACCTGTGTTAAACTTATCTATGGTTAGAGTGAGACACTTGCAAACCTTAAACCTGTGGTGAGACACTTAAACTTATAGTGAGACACTTAAACCTGTGGTGAGACACTTAAACCTGTGGTGAGACACTTAAACCTGTGGTGAGACACTTAAACCTATGGTGAGACACTTAAACCTGTGGTGAGACACTTAAACCTATGGTGAGACACTTAAACCTATGGTGAGACACTTAAACCTATTGTGAGACACTTAAACCCACAGGGAGTTCATTAAACCTACATTGAGACTTTTAAACCAATGATGGACTCTTAAACCCACAGTGAGACCATTAAAGCCATGTTGAGACACTTACAAAGTGATATACAGTAATTCTTGTGACTGTATAATGTGTCAGAGCATGTCCAGTGTTTCACCTGTGATATCTCACAATATCGATTTACTTATGAAGTATGATGCATCTCCCCACAGTTCAAGAACCCACCAGCGGACTATGATGAGGTGTACCTGGCTATGGCAAGGAGAGGTGCTAGAGTTCTGGCCCTTGGATACAAACGTATCGGAAGCCTCTCACATCAAGAGGTCAGTAACTTATGTCATGTTGTGTTTGTTCTTACTGGCAAACAAGGATAAGTTGAGCTCTGACCTGACAATTGACCCGTCTTAGCATTTATGAGTGCCGCCCCAACAGGCGCTTGCCATTGTTAGCGAAGGGACCCCAGGTTGTTCGCGATCAAGTGTAGTGCGACTTGCTACACCGACGTGAGAGTCTTATGAGCAAGGCGTGTGCAGCTACGCCCGGAATCAATTTCATCGTCATGCAATGCTCATGCACTAGCCTACATCTGCTCTACCTTTCACAAACCCAATGAGTTTGCTCATTGCCGTGCACCACCTCGTAAACGTGTTCTCTGTGCCAGTCCAACTTATCCTTATTTGCCAGTAGCATGTTCCAGACATGAATCACTCTCTGCTCATGGCACATCACTCGCAGGAACATAGTCTAGGAAGATGAACATTGAATGGCCATGATTTTATACCCTGACTCTCTCGATAGCGAACACTCTCTGTTGTCTGGACCAGACTTGATAACCTGAATTCCTCAATATACACTCCATATAATACTGCCCGTCCTCATCAAATACCCTTGATTGTCTTGAAAGTTGACGTAAATGAGCATTCTTTGAGTAAATGTACCAAGATTGTTGATTGAAATTCACATTTTCAACCTCTGAAAAAAATTCATTGTTGTGAAACAACATGAAATCACTAATATTGATGTGATGTTGACAATGGTGTGCATGTTGTTGCAGGTGCGGGAAATGACGAGGGAGGAGGCCGAGTGTCAGCTGGAGTTTGCAGGCTTCATCATCATCTCCTGTCCACTCAAAGCCGACTCCAAGGCTTCGGTCAAGGAAATCTATAATGCCTCACATCTGGTAGGAATACGTTTCATTCCTGTGTGGATTCAGTCCCAATGGGTCCCCAGTACCTCAGATACATACATATCATTAACATGCCATCTCTTGTAACTGTGTTTGTAGTGTATTTTTATACCATGTAGTTTATGATGTGATGTTATATATGCATAGAGAGATTGAGACATAAATCAGCAGTGTGTTCAGGAGCGGATCCAGGAGTTTGGAGAAGGGGTTTGCACATAATACAATAGAATAGTAGATATAACGAACTGACGGCTATGGCAAATTGTTTTTAAAGTCCCAAATAAACCTCTGTATATTATCATATAAAAAGTCGTGAATAATGAATTCTCTATAAGAAACTTAATGGCTATAGCGAGCTTAATGGCTACACTAATTAACGGTGTGAATAATGAACTGAGCGAACTCAATCAGTGTCACTGCCAATTAGCAGTGCTCACTTTGAAATCAGTGTATACCGAATGAGGCTGTAGCATGTATTCAGTCGGCCAGGCGTGGACAAAGTGTAAGATCACAGACTTTGTGGTGAAATGAATGGTACTGTCGTATGAATGAATGAATAAACTGAGTAGGAATGTATCGGACTGTACAGTATGTCTTTATTGTTTTTTCAATGGAATTTCGTGAATAGCGAATTACGGATATAATGAACTAATTTCAGTGGTCCCTTGGGGTTTGTTATAAAGGTATTTTACTGTACATGCATTCCAAAGGTTTGGGGGAAATGCTCTTCTCTTCAGAGGGGGGAGGGAGGGGGGGGACCCTGTACTTCACTCTGGATCTGCCCATGGTGTTCGTCTAGAGTTAGTGAAGGCTTGCTGACTTACCGGTAGGTAATTGTGTGTTGTGATACACTGATGACATGTGGTACCAGAAACCATGGGGTCCAGTTCCAATTCCAGTTCTGTGTTTGTCAGTACAATACTTGTGGGTTTTACCAAAGTGGTAAACACCTGTATCGTGTCAGACTTTCCTCCTGGTTGGTGTTGTCATGGTTAATTCAGATACCACATCAAAACTTGAGTACAGAGCAGGCTCCTCAAAGTGATGTTAACACTGGAATCATCATCAAGTGTAGGAGTTCTGGTAACCTTAGCACCAAGATTGCTTGGCACAGAGTTAGTGAGTGTGTGAGTTTAGTTTTACGCCACACTCAGCAATATTCCAGCTATATGGCAGCAGTCTGTAAATAATCGAATCTGGACCAGACAATCCAGTGATCAACAGCATGAGCATTGATCTACGTAACTGGGAACTGATGATATGTGTCAACCAAGTCATCGAGCCTGACCACCCAATCCCGTTAGTCGCCTCTTACAACAAGCATGGGTTACTGACGATCAATTCTAACCTGTATCTTCATGGGTGCTTGGCACAGAGACTGTTAATGTGATGATTCTAGAGATTTATCAAACATTCATAAAAGATCCTCATTGAATGTGAAACAGAAGGAGGAAAATGTGACGTTGATCTGAAGGTACTGTAAGTAGTTGTTCCCCTTCAGGTTGCCATGATTACCGGAGACAACCCACTGACAGCCTGCCATGTTGCCAAGGAGCTGAGAATCACCAAGCGAGAGACTGTCATCCTACAAGGACCAAATGATAAAGGTGTGTGCAAGGAGTGTTCAGCTGCCTGTGTGTTACTGTCCATTTGTCAGCAGTGTCAGGATATACTAATGTTTCTCCTGAAGGCTGGATTGGTTTTGTCATCAACATGATCAAGTCTTGCAGCAGATCCAGGCTTTCGTCTCTCATGGAAATGATTGGATGTGTGCCAGTTCTTAGAGTTCAATTTTTACAACTTCATTCTTCATGCCTGCTGACAATTAATTTTAACAGACTTCAGCATGAAGAAATTAAATGTATAGAAATTATGGATTTTTTACATTGGGATGTGACAAAACAATGGCATAATGTTTAATGTCATGTTGCCATCTGTTAATGATAACACAATGGCCAGATGTAGTCTGCATAATGTTTAATGTCATGTTGCCATCTGTTAATGTTAACCATCTTGTTTAATGTCATGTTGCCATCTGTTAATGATAACCACCTTGTATAATGATTATTATCATGACAACAGCTGGCATGGATAAGTCCTTAATTAATATATCCGCAGAGTACAACATTGATTCTCCCGTATCTGTGATAGCCACACAGTTCATGATAACCACCCACTTCATGATAACCACCCGGTTCTTGATAACCACCCACTTCATGATAACCACCCGGTTCTTGATAACCACCCGGTTCATGATAACCACCCGGTTCATGATAACCACCCGGTTCATGATAACCACCCAGTTCTTGATAACCCCCCAGTTCATGATAACCCCCAGTTCATGATAACCACCCAGTTCATGATAACCACCCAGTCCATGATAACCACCCGGTTCATGATAACCACCCGGTTCATGATAACCACCCAGTTCATGATAACCACCCGGTTCATGATAACCACCCAGTCCATGATAACCACCCGGTTCATGATAACCACCCGGTTCATGATAACCACCCAGTCCATGATAACCACCCGGTTCATGATAACCACCCGGTTCATGATAACCACCGGTTCATGATAATCACCCGGTTCATGGTAACCACCCGGTTCATGATAACCACCCGGTTCATGATAACCACCAGGTTCATGATAATCACCCGGTTCATGATAACCACCCAATCCATGATAACCACCCAGTTCATGATAACCACCCAATCCATGATAACCACCCAGTTCATGATAACCACCCGGTTCATGGTAACCACCCATTCCATGATAACCACCCGGTTCATGATAACCACCCATTCCATGATAACCACCCAGTCCATGGAAACCATCCAGTTCATGATAACCACCCAGTTCATGATAGCCGCCCAGTTCGTGATAAATGCCCAGTTCATGATAACCACCCAGTTCATGATAACCACCCAGTCCATGATAACCACCCAGTCCATGATAACCACCCAGTCCATGATAACCACCCAGTTCATGGTAACCACCCACTCCATGATAACCACCAAGTTCATGATGAACTAATGCCCAGTTCATGGTAACCACCCAGTTCATTATAACCACCAAGTTCATGGTAACCATCCAGTTCATGGTAACTTCCAAGTTCATGATAACCACCCAGTTCATGGTAAATGCCCAGTTTATAACCTCCCAGTTCATGGTAACCTCCCAGTTCATTGTAACCACCCAGTTCAAGGTAACTTCCCCCAGTTCAAGGTAACTTCCTAGTTCATGATAACCGCCCAGTTCATGATAACCACCCAGTTCATGATAACCACCCAGTTCATGGTAACCACCCAGTTCATGGTAACCACCCAGTTCATGACCACACACAGTTCATGATGAACTAATGCCCAGTTTATGGTAACCACCCAGTTCATTATAACCACCAAGTTCATGGTAACCATCCAGTTCATGGTAACTTCCTAGTTCATGATAACCACCCAGTTCATGGTAACCACCCAGTTCATGAGAATCACCCAGTTCATGATGAACTAATGCCCAGTTCATGGTAACCTCCCAGTTCATTGTAACCTCCCAGTTCATTGTAACCACCCAGTTCAAGGTAACTTCCTAGTTCAAGGTAACTTCCTAGTTCATGATAACGACCCAGTTCATGATAACCACCCAGTTCATGGTAACCACCCAGTTCATGGTAACCACCCAGTTCATGATAACCACCCAGTTCATGATAACCACCAAGTTCATGATGAACTAATGCCCAGTTCATGGTAACCACCCAGTTTATGATAACCACCCAGTTCATGATAACCATCCAGTTCATGATAACCGATTTGCCTGTTATATTCATGCAGCTCGAGGGTGGCACTGGCAGTCAATCGACGATCGTGTTGTCATTCCCGCTATACCAGTGGACATGAAGAAAGAACTTATAGCTGCATACGACCTTTGTCTCACAGGGGAGGTATGACAATGACATTATCAGTTTGACCCGTGGGATGATTATTTTTTAAACGGATCATGGCAGATACGATAAACCTGTCAGATTTAGTGTAAACTGTCAAACACTCAAGAGATTCCACTTTGCAATGTTATATGCTAACTGATCTTTTCAATTTGCCAACTAACCAAAGAACAGGTTAATGCAAGTTTGACATTCCTTTATTTTGCAATATGAACATGATGACTGTGTTCTCTGTGATCAGTTCTTTGTGGGGATTCCCTCATAGACTAAGATAGTAGGAAGATGTACTCAAGTTTGTTCCCTGTGCATGATAAGATCCTACACTGGTGTTATACGACAGGGACCAGACATAGTTGTCATGGATTCAGTGATTAACCACTAGCTCTCACTGGCCTGTAATGCCATTATATTGCTGACTGTGGATGAAAACAACATTCGCTGATTAGGGGCACTGGGGTAGCCTAATGGTTAAAGCGTCCGATCGTCACGTTCAAGAACCGGGTTCAATTCCCCACATGGGTACAATGTGTGAAGCCCATTTCTGGTGTCCCCTGCCGTGATAGTGCTGGCATATTGCTAAAAGTAACGTAAAACCATACGCACTCACTCATTCATTCAATGAAATACCAAGTGTCTTACAGTTCTCGGGCAGTGGGGTAACCCAGTGTTTAAAGCATGCTCGTCACACCGAAGACCCGGGGTAGATTCCCCACATGGGCACAATGTGTGGAGCACATTTCTGGTGTCCCCCCCGCCGTGATATTGCTGGAATATTGCTAAAAGCGGCGTAAAACCATACTCACTCATTCACTCTTACAGTTCTGATCAGGGATAATCTCTTCTAGGCTCTGACCTGGCTGCAGACAGAACACGAGAAACTCCTGAGGATCGTGCTGCCAAATACTAAAGTCTTTGCCAGGGTAGCCCCAAAACAAAAGGTACGTCTTACACACTTAACCTCATCCTACAAGGCCTCCTTTAGACGTGACACAGTATTTTAAAAAGTAATTCCATTTTCTATCAGTCAGTACAAGCTGCTACCACAGCATTCTTGTATTAGTTTAGAATATTGAAGGTTTGTCTGTGTTTCCATCAACCCGAAGTCCATAAGGTTTCTATGTTTCTTCTTAATGTACTCATAGTAATATTCATGTTAACTTATAGTTTCAAGGGATATGTTATATTCCCTATACACACTGATGTCATTATAATTTCATCAAAGTCTGTAACATAACACTATGGGTACAACAAGGACTGGTCGGCTACGAGTCAGTAAAATGTGTCTGAGTGGGGTATTCATGCTTAACTGGGGCATGGTATCTCAGAGAGCTAGCTCTATAAAACCAGCTTAAACCCCATTTCACCTCACCTCATGGTATTTGCCTTGCAGGAGTTCATTGTTACAGCCTTGAAGAGCATGGGTTACACAGTCCTCATGTGTGGAGATGGAACTAATGACGTTGGTGCTCTCAAACACGCTCATGTTGGTGAGGAGAGTTGTCCCTTTACAATACACTGAACAAAGAGTTGGGGTCTTGAGTCTATCTGTGTTTATATGGTTGTTTTCTGAATTGGGGGCGGTGGGGTAGCCTAGTGGTTAAAGCCCATTGGTGTCCCAATCCTATTGCTGGAATATTGCCCGGGTTCATTCCCCACATGGGCACAATGTGTTAAGCCTATTTCTGGGTGTCCCCCCCGTGATATTTCTGGAATATTGCTAAAAGTGTTGTAAAACTAAACTCACTCACTCACTCTGAAGACTGAATCCGTAGTTTCAGAAAAATAGCCAGCAAATGTTTGTGATCCCTACAACTCTATACAACTTTCACCATTTATTCTAACATCCGGTCATAGATTCAAGTTTTTTTTTTCATGCTTTCATCACGAACCAGGTTTAAAGGTTGTATTTCTAGTAAGGCTTACCGAAGCTTCTGAGATCCACAATCACCATCAGTGTTGTAGCAAGACAGGGACATACTGACTTAGACTACTACCTGCAGTAGCCCCCCAGATTGTACTAGGTTGGCTTGTTGTTTAACGCCGCACTCAGCAATATTCGAGCTATATGGCAGCGGTCTCTAAGTAATCAAGTCTTGACCATACAATCCAGTGATCAATAGCATGAGCATCGATCTACGCAATTGGGATACAATGACATTTGTGAACCAAGTCAGCAAGCCTGACCACCCGATCCCGTTAGTCGCCTCTTACGACAAGCATGGGTTACTGAAGATCAATTCTAACCCGGATCTTCATGGTCAGATTGTACAAAATAAGTGTGAAATACTCTTGATGTTGCATTTTCTTAAGTGTCAATGGGTATTTCTGTCAAACCTTCCCAGCATTAGCGTAACTAGCCAGATGTGTCAAATGCTCTAATGCAGATATTGTGTGGCTTCATATCTCTCCACGTGCTGCAGTACAGGTTGTGCTGTGTTTTCAGGGGTTGCACTGTTAGCCAATGCTCCAGAGAGGCTGCCTGACAAGAAGAAGAGGAGAGAGGAGGTATGTAGAAAGTTGGGAGTGACGGAATAACACTGCTGAATTGAATATTTCGTGACTCTCTAACTTAAGATCATCCGACATTTAATGATTTTGGCTAAAAGCCAACTGGTTTTCTGTTAACGTGCACATTTTACAACACTGTGATTATTATGCACCAAGTTGTGAAGGTTCCCATGTTCTATATGATATGGGAGTTGCAGCAAGTTCCTTTCCAACTTGTGAAAGTATTTATGACAATGTGGTTATAAACAGAATAGGACAGAACAGTGAAAATACACGCCTGCTTTCCATTTCATGTGGTCATTAACGGTAGTCACGATGGAAGTTTAATATACAAATAGATACTTTCATTTTACCTTTCAACAATCGGCTTCCAGGGTAGAATAGGTCTTCAAACTTCCCTGCTTGTAGTTTCATGGTGGGGCTTCCAGAGAAGCTTTAATTGGGAATCAGTCAAAACTGGAATGTATGTAGCTGAACTCCATTTCTGAAATGCTCAAGACAGGAAGGAGGTGTAGGATGATGATAAGGATGATGATGATGATGATGATGATGATGATGATGATGATGATGATGATGATGATATGGCATCTTCTGATGACAATTGTCAATTTCAAGCTAATGTTGATGAGAGAGCTGGGGATATTGATGTTATTTCCCAAACAAAGCTCTAATGTTGATTTAGGGTTTAGGGTATTTTTCATGATAGATTTGAGATATATAAGAGCGGGTAAATTTAACTCTGTTTTTTGCGAGGTCATCATATCCAGTATGATGCCATGTGTGGCTATGAACCAACAGTGTTCAATGTTCTTGTTCAGAATAGCAGCAGTGTAGATGGTGAGGCCCCCAACGACAAGCTACAGATGTTGAGTCAGCGTGGTGGGGGCAAGGTGTCAGGGCGGGCTGCCAAACAGAGAGCCATTGCAAGGGGAGATAACCTAGCTCCAGCACAGGTACTTACCTTATAAATGTCATGTACAGTGTTAGTCTGTGTGAAGGTGTTCAGCAATATCATTACCTGAATTCTGAATGGTGGCTGGAAAATGCATCACAATGCTTTTATTTTTTGCCCAATGTGATCAAATGATATGATATATAGTTCTTTGTATGTAATTTTGTATGACATATATTACATATTTACTGTTAGTATTTGGTTGAAGAACAAAATATAAATATCACACAACAGAATCATTTGAGTGTTCTGGGACGATGCGATATCTTTACATAGTGCTAGGCTAGCTATTAAATGAATATTCTGAGGGATAGTTGGACTTTTGGCAATAACTTGTTGATCTGCTACTTATGTATCAAAAGCTGTGAAGGTGCTTTACCATGAAGCATAACTTGGCATGTCAGAGTAATGATATGAGAGGTGATACAAGATTAGCACAGTCTAATCCAGATGTATTCCGGCATTGGCTAACAATGCCACAAGCTGCAGATCATATATTGGATAAGCATTTCAGTGTGTTGCCAGAATAAGATAATTTACAGGAATAATTATGTGAAATTCAATATTAATTTTAAATTTAATTAATATACTTATCTTGATACATGGCTTTGGCCTGCATCCATGTCTGGATATCAAGGTTAGTGCTGATGAGATGGTGGTGATGGATCAAGGACAGATAACTCTGGTTGATATCCATGGTGTAAGGCATGCGGAGGAGGCATGTTTTGGGTTCTATGTTGGACGATTGAACGGAAGAAGTGTGGAAATTGCAGTGTGTTGTGTCAGGATAATAATAGCATTGAAAATCTTTCTGTAAGAGACTAGGCCCTGAACATTACTCATGAGAATTTACTGAGTTTAATGTGTTTTTTTGCCATTACAGAAAAAACTTGCTGCCATGTTGAAAGAACTTGAAGAAGAAGAAAAATCGCAGATTGTTCGACTTGGAGATGCCAGTATAGCTTCCCCATTCACATCCAAACTTTCCACAGTTGCTAGTGGTGAGTGACATTCTACCATTATAGAATCACCATCCAAACTTTCCACACAGTAGTATGAATCAAAGCAGTGTTAGGTAAGCACCTCTACATGTGTTTTGCTGTGTAAACTCCAGACCCAGCAATGTATATCATGCTATTTTTTTCTTTTATTTCAGTGTGTCACATCATCAAACAAGGGCGATGTACTCTAGTTACGACCCTGCAGATGTTCAAGATCCTGGCCCTAAACGCCCTGATCCTGGCTTACAGTCAAAGTGTGTTGTACCTGGACGGCATCAAGTTCAGTGATGGCCAGGCCACCATGCAAGGCCTGCTGCTAGCTGGTTGCTTCCTGTTCATCTCACGGTCCAAGGTAACTCTCTACAGCTTCATGTCATATCTTTAACTGAATTACTGTTAAAGTCTGTGCTTAAACAACAAAACTCATGCACATACACAGTGGTGTATTATCTGAGCCCAGATAGGGGTGGTGGGGTAGCCTAGTGGTTAAAGCTTTCCCTCATCACGCCGAAGACCCAGGTTTGATTCCCGACATGGGTACAATGTGTGAAGCCCATTTCTGGTGTCCTCCGCTGTGATATTGCTGGAAAGTGCTAAAAGCAGCATATAACTAAACTCACTCACTAACTCACTCACTCAGCCCAGATAAATAACATCATGACATCAATGAAGAAGATGATGATGATTATTTTGTGTGTTATTACCTTAGTTTCCAACAGCTTGTAGAAAAGTGTCTGAATGCCATGTTCAATTTAACAGACACAGTGTCTGATGTTTTTTCCTCTTGTTTCAGCCACTAAAGTCTCTGTCAAAGGAACGTCCTCTACCTAACATCTTCAACCTGTACACAATACTCACAGTGTTGGCACAGTTTGCTTTTTTCCTTATCCTGACTCATGCTCTTTTGCTTGTCTTCTTCTTCTTGCGAACATAGTGGAACACTTGTATCTCCTTATTTGAAGCTCCTTCAAAATAAAATCACTAATTGGTACTCACCACGAGTTGCTCCCCTTTGTTTCCCCTGGCGGGAAAGGTGTAATACACCCTCTGGCCATGTGCTTCACTCTCTCCTTCTTAGCCCAGTGAGCAGGATGTGAGGCGCCTTGTGTCTCCTTACACACCATATCCTTTGATAATCTCTTAGTTTTACCTCTCATAGGTTACTATAGAGGTATAGCTAGTATCCTTTACTATTTGTATTGATTAATTATCATTATTTCTACTGTTTATTCCGTGTATTAAGTGATTGTTCAGCTAACTTTCGTTGATGAAAATCTGTGCGATTTGTAGATTACGTTTTCTGCCTCCGATCCACATGTAATATGCCCTAGTTGTTCTCGCCCGTGTCGTTTTAATTCCGCGTTGCAGTTACTGCATTAATTTATCTCATTCTGCATTTAATAAATATCATCTTTGCGTCTTAAGGCGTGCTGCAGATAGATCCATGCAACAAAGGGCAAAACATGGCAGAGAGTCAGATATTCCATCCAGTCAGCTGCTAGCGATCGACCCTCTCCGTCTGGTGTTCTGCTAGAGACCCCTGCGGCAGAGGGCGTGGGGCGCAGATCCGTTACCTCGAAGAAGCGACCGGCCTCCCCAGACATCCCGTCATTGCAGACCAAGTCTAAGAGGGCCTCATCGTCGTCTCAGCGCCAGATTGAGGACACCCAGGGCAGCGCCAGACTTCCAAAGGGAAATCTCTGAAGACAGCAAGAACTTTCTCAGCGAGATCGTTCCAGCAGCAGAATTGGGCCTCGATGATCAGCCGATAATCATCCCGACTTCACGGCAGAAGAAGCGACCGGTGTCAGCGACTGTGACTTCTGCAGAGATCACCATGCAGCCTGATGCCTCTACACCGGCGTCAGGCGTCATTGATGTGAACCCCATCGCGCAGAAAAGGCGCCCGGCGACTTCGTCTGAGATCATCCCAGAAGACATGATCGCGGCAGATTATGAACATCATGGAGGACCACTACAAACTGCGCCAAGCGAAGTCCGAGCAACCAGCGAAGGCTCCAGCGTGAACAACACCCCAGAGGCACCCCGTCAGCGTAGCAGCCAAGGCGATGTCACCTTCGCGAAGGAAGTCCGCACCACCTTGGCGAAGGACCTAGATGTACAGCCTTAGCGAAGGCCTTAGCGGCGGGGAGATCATCACCATCTTCGATTTCATCTCTAGATATGGACTCAGACCATCAGACATCACGGAGGCCTTCGCGAAGGTCATATCATCGATCCCCGGACGGGCGCCAAATGAAGCTTCGCGAAGGCATTAGCGAAGGACATATGATTCAGATCCTCATCATCTAGAAGAACATCGAGGGACTGCGAAGAGCTTGCGAAGCTATCAACATTCACCTCACAAGTCTCGAGAAGATCATCCCATAGGCGATCTCCGCCGTTCATCACCAGGTTCGATCACCCGTCAGATCTCCACATAGAAGCGCACAAGTCAACTAGATGCATACAAACCTCATCAGATATACAGACAGCTACCGCGGTCGAAGAGCATCTACAATTTGTTAATGATGATGGTTTGAGGGATGATGGAGGAATCATATTTTCTGATGCAGAATCACGGTATTGGATGGTCAATAACCTAGATCTCACATCACCATCTAAAAGTGGCAATACAAGCGCAGGGCGTATTTGATGAAGGAAGATGATCAGATGCAATCACTCTACCCCGATCGACCCGATTGCGGCAGTGCCACAGAATCTAGATGCAGCTTTCCAGAAAGCTCACGAAAGTTCAGATACCACATCTGCCCAACTTTCAAGCCAAGAAGTTCTCCACGCATAACATGGACTCCTTCTACAAGGCCCAGGACATCGATGAGAACTATAAGATCATCAGCGATGTAAAGAACAAGATTTACAAGATGGATGATGCATAAGTTGGCTCATATAGAAACCATGGCGAGGCGTATGTTCTTTGGGTTAAATAGATCTAGGGCGATCAATGAGACTCTTATTACTAGATTCGGGATTCCACGGCGGAAGATGATAGAATGATTTATTCTGCCTTACTTATGCAAAGAAAGATCAGCAGTTTTTAGCGGATCATCTTACATCTGTTTCAGCAGCACTGACCTTAGCTTCGTCGTCAAGGCCTCCTGCGCCTCCTGTAATTGGGGGAGAACTTTACAGCCCACTTTATACAGCCCGTGGTGACAACATCCATCTTTGGCGGAGAAATCGACAAAATTAAGCCAAGGAAGTCTCTAAGGATTCAGGGGAAGTCCTTATGATTAGATCGATGGACACACTAGCCAGCGTCATTAGTCAGACTTCACAAAGATACTCAGGCAGATCTAAGTTCACGGGCCTACAAAGAGCAAGAGACAGGAAGATAGCCAGCTCTAGAGGTAAAGATTCTTTTAAATTAAGCCCATATGGCAACTATAGAGGAGGATCAGGAAGAGGCAGGACACCCAGAGGTTCCGCAATTATAGGCAGCTGAAACACAGGTTGAGCGACTGGAGTCTTCCACCCCAGCCGTTCCAGTACAGCCAGCTCAAGTGGGTGGGCGCCTCCAACTACACTGGGAAAACTGGGGAATATTGCAAGACCCTTCGTCTCCAACATTCTTCAACAGTTTACGTATCCCTCTACAGGCCAAGCCTCGCTGACAATCAAACCCCCAAGTTCGATTTACAAAGCGCCAACAACTACCAAAGATAAGAGAGGCTGTTTCATCACTCCTATCCAAACAGGCCATAGAAGTAATAGATCAAGCAAGCGTCGAACCAGGTTTCTACTCCCCAGTTTTCCTAGTTCCCAAGAAAAACTCCGCGAGAGAAATACAGACTCATCTACAACATGAGCTTTTTCAACAAGAACTATCTCGCAAAACCACGAAGTTTAGCATGATACATTTACCTCAGTTCGCCAGATGATTAGATCCTATGGACTACATGGGCAGCATAGATCTACAGGATGCCTACCTGCACATCCCCATTCATCCCGATTCAGGAAATACCTACGATTTACTCTAGAAGGGCTACATTACCAGTGGAAAGTACTCCCATTGAATATCATCAGCCCCTGGCTATTCCGCGAGGATAGCGAAACCGATTATCAAATTTCTACATCGTCAAGGGCTCGCGGTCGTTTTACCTCGACGACGGGATACAAGTAGATCAAGATCCACTCGTCTCAAACTACAGTTAAATTACATCATAAAGCTACTAACACAACTAGGTTGGTTAGTAAACTTACATAAAGTCGGACCTAGTACCATCGCCAAGACCTGCAGTTCCTAGGTATTGATTCATCACAAATCGCAACCGTATTATGGTACCAGAAGACCGTTGGCTCAAGATACAGCAGACCATTCCACCAGCTCTACTCTCTCCGTTACCACTGCGACAATGGCAGAGCCTACTAGGTCTTCTCACATCAGCCCAAGACATGACTGTCACAGGCAGATTACAGTTCGTCCCCTACAGGTCCTCATCAGCACACATCTCAGCGATGTACAACCATTCAGTCTACGAAACATCTCAGACCATCTACTATGGTGGACCAAGAAATCGAATGTCTGCGAAGGGATTTGTTTAGCAGAGCAGGAATACAAAACCCATCTGTATGTAGGCAGCGTCACTCCAAGGTTGGGGAGCTCATCTCACCAACCACCGCGATATCAGGATTATGGAATCAGCAAGAATGCAAACTCCATATAAACAGTCTAGAAATGAAAGCTGTAATCAGCGCCATTCTACATTGGAGCACATTTCTACAAAATCGCGGCCTAATGATCCATACAGACAATTCGACAGTGGCGTTCTACATAAACAAGCAAGGCTCAGCGAGATCGATGAACCTTTTGAACCTAAGCTTTCAACTGTTGATTTAATACAAGATCTAAATCTACATGTCAGAGCAGTGCATTCCGGGAGCCAGAAATATACTAGCAGGCGGCTCTCTCTCGGCCTCATCTACCATCACCGACAGAGTGGATGATCAACAGGAAATTTTGCACAGATAATCAAGCAATTAGGGCCGCTAATAGACCTATTAAGCCCGCAGCGATTCAACAATCAGCTACCGACATTAGTGTCACCAGTCCCAGACCCCAAGCTTGGGCAGCGGGCGGCTCTAAGTCTATCATGGGAAGGCCTCAATGCGTCGCAGCGTTTCCGCCGCCAGCAATAATACCTCAAGTATTACAGAAAATCAGACAAACACAGAGCCTACAACTCACTTTGGTGGCCCTACTGGCCGGCCAGAGCGTGGTTTCCCATACTAATTCAAGAAATCGGTCAACCAACACTGGAGCTACCCAAAGCGCCAAACCTGTTAATTCATCCTCACACCAAACAAGTGCGCGAGCCCAGCAATGTTCCAACTACGCATTATGGACTGTATACAAATGTGTTTAAACAAGAGGATATTCTGCCAGAGGCAAAAGCAGTCCGCTTGCCTTCGTTACTCAACTTCGTGGCAATGCGGCGACAAGTGGCACAGTTTGAAAATTATGCAACAAAGAAAGGGTTTACAGCAAGAGGCTTCTTCAACCTCAAGTGGCAGACTATTTGTGTTACCTACGCCAAAACAAACATTTAAAAGGTTCAGCGATATCAACATATCTTGCGGCGCTTAGTTCTGTAATCACCATGAGAGCGGGTGTCAAATTGACAAGATCTCCAGAGTTACTGGCCTTACTCACGAGCTTTCGATTGGAGGACCAAAGCGGAAGTTCCACGCCCCAGCTTGGGATCTGAATGTAGTGTTACAACACCTCACGAGTGAGGTCTATGAACCTTTGGAATCGACAAACTTTGAATTTCTCTCACAGAAAACACTGTTTCTGCTATCGCTAGCCACAGCAGCAAGAATGTCTGAAATTCAGCTCTCTGGATTCTGAGAGGATACAGTTTGATGACAATCATA